AGGGTCCTGAAACAGCTTCCTGTGGCAAAGATTATTAGGCCACCTTACTTGTAGGATGGCAAAAGGGAGGAGGAGGAGGAGGAGGAGGCGGAGGCGGAGGCGAGGAGGACAGGTGAAAATCACATCTGACTCACAACTTACAAAGTTACCATTAATGCCTCCTCAGTGTCTGGGCAGTTGCTTAAATCGTTTGCCTACCAAGTAAAATAGGCAGCTGGGTTGAGAAGCAGAAGCAATAAACATAGAGGATCTTTGGCACTCGAGGCCAAGAGATGTTAAACGCACAACACAACAAAACGTGGTTGATTGTACGGTTGCCAGCATGGAAAAAAACAAAAAGTGCTTGGACACAATTTTAACAAGCAGGCAACCATCTATTAGAAAACAATATTTTCCTTTGGTCTCTCCTTGTGTGGGGACTGAAGGCAGAGCCTGCAACTCTGGGGTAAAGGATGCTTCCGTTGCATCAATCTAGTGCAGGGGTAGGCAACCTTGGCTCTTTTATGACTCGTGGACTTCAACTCTCAGAATTCCTGAGCCAGCATGGCTCAGCTTGGAAACCTCTCCCTTTCCCCTCAGCATGGCTGACTCAGGAATTCTGGAAGTTGCAGTCAATGAGTCATAAAGAGCCAAGGTTTCCTACCCCTGATCTAGTGGTTTACAGTGTGACACTCCCCCTACAGCCCCATAGGGGATGGGGGGGGAAAGCCGGTCTGTTCTGCATCAGCTGCTACATCCAAGGGAGTCCAGAAAAGAGACCTCCACTTGTCTCTGTGGTGCAAGCGGTTAGCGCGTCTGGCTGTTAACCAGAAGGTTGGTGGTTCGAGCCCACCCAGGGACGGCTGTTGGTGCCCCGCCCCTTTGACGAGGTGGCCGAGTGGTGAAGGTGATGGACTGCTAATCCATTGTGCTCTGCATGCGTGGGTTCGAATCCCACCCTCGTTGGCACCTTTTCCTTCTGGTTGCAGGATTTGGGGTGAAAGGATCAGTCCTGCTGTGTACCTTGGGAGGGTGAAAAGCAGAGCAGCGTTGTTATTTTGACCTTGTTTGTGCTCTTTCTTCAGGGAAAGTATTATTCGTTGTTCTTATTTTTTTTATCCCTTTATCCTGCCAATCGAATCCATTATGGCCCCTATATTCTTGATTTGATGTCTGTGCATTCCAGACAAGCTGACCATTAGTCAGGGCACTTCTGTAGCCTTCTAGTGGTCTCACATATTCATATATAAATATAATCCTTTTGTATTTTCTTTCCCTCATTTTACTATGATTGGTCCTAAGCCTACCTCCTCTTTTCAATGTATGCAACATATTTAGTAGGGCAAGAAGGCCGTGGGACACCTGGAAGAAGCATTGGGGGCTAAGCACCAGGTGGGGTATTATTTCTCAATGCCCATCAAGCCAACTGTGAGGTAAGGCAACTCCCTGTCAGCCTCATCTCCTACTGTCAAGCTTGCCTCCCCACTGCCTATTCATGGTCTAATTAGGTAACACCTCGACTGTTTCTTGCAGAATGCAACTCTGCTACAACTGAAACATCACTAGTGTTTTTCTCCCAGCTTCAGCAACTTCATCTCTTACCAAGAAAATGAATCTGCTTCTGGGTTACACCATTCCAGATGCTGAGATCAGCATGAAGGCCAACTTCTCAAGAGCTGCGGTGGTGTAGTAGTTAGAATGCAGTACTGCAGGCCAATTCTGCCATTTTGGCAGTTCAACCGGCTTGCGTTTACCAAGGTTGCATCATCCTGCAGTCACGTGACAGGCAAAGTCAAGGGACAGCCAGATTTGCTTAACAAATGTGTGATTTAGTTAACAACTGTGTGATACACTGAACCACCATGGCCAAAAAAGGTCATAAAATTGGGTGTGGTCACTTGATGCCTCAACTTAACAATCGCATCACTTCAACGATGAATTTCCTGATCCAAATTCTTGTCTTAAGTTGAAGACGATCTGTACAGTTAGTCCTTGACGTACGACTGCAATTGAGCCCAAATTTGTGTTGCTGAGACATTTGTTAAGTGAAATTTACTCCATTTTACCATCTTTCTTGCCACAGTTGTTAGGTGAATCACTTTAGTTGTTAATAATAATAATAATAATAATAATAATAATAATAATAATAATAAGTGCCGCCTGTGCAAAGAAGCTGAAGAAACAGTGGACCACCTGGTAAGCTGTTGCAAGAAGATTGCAGACTGACTACAAGCAGTGGCATAACAAAGTAGCAACAATGGTGCATTGGAAGATCTGCAAAAAATATCATTTGCCTGTAAGCAAAAACTGGTGGGATCATAAAATAGAGAAAGTCATAGAAAATGATAAAATTAAACTGCTCTGGGACTTCAGAATTCAAACAGACAAGCACCTGCAACATAACACCCCAGACTTAACAATTGTCGATAAGAAAGACAAAAAAGTCTGGATAGTGGATGTGGCAGTGCCTGGAGACAGCAGAATAGAAGAGAAAGAACTGGAGAAGATAACAAAATACAAAGACCTACAAATAGAAATAGAAAGACTGTGGCAAAAGCAAGCAAGGGTAGTACAATAGTGATAGGCTCCTTGGGTGCAATCCCAAAACAACTGGAGCACCACTTGAACACCATTGGCATTGACAAATTCGCTATTAGTCAATAGCAAAAGGCAGCCTTATTAGGAACTGCTTCCATCCTGCGACGATACCTGTAATACCATCAAACATCCACATCTGCCTATCTCAGGTCCTGGGTAAGGACTCGATAGGTAGACAAAATGCCAAATCCAGTCTGAACATCTGGCTGACTGTGCGATGATCCATAATAATAATAAAGTTGGAAGGGAGCTTGGAGGTCATCTAGTCCAACCCCCTGCTCAGGCAGGAAACCCTATACCATTTCAGACAAATGGCTGTCCATTCTCTTCTTAAAAACTTCCAGTGTTGGAGCATGCGCCGCTTCTGGAGCCAGGTTGTTCCACTGGTTAATTGTTCTAACTGTCAGGAAGTTTCTCCTTAGTTCTAGGTTGCTTCTCTCCTTGATTAGTTTCCATCCGTTGCTTCTTGTCCTGCCTTCAGGCGCCTTGGAAAATAGCTTGACTCCCTCTTCTTTGTGGCAGCCCCTGAGATACGGAACACTGCTATCATGTCCCCCCCTCGTCCTTCTCTTCATTAAACTAGACCACAGGTCGGCAACCTGCAGCTCCGGAGCCGCATGCGGCTCTTTGAGCCTTCCCCTGTGGCTCCCAGCCTCCTCTGCCTTTGCAGAGAGAGACAGAGACAGAGAGAGGCAATTGCGCTTCCCTGCTTCTCTCTCTCTCTCTCTCTTCTCTCTCTCTCTCTCTCTCTCTCTCTCTGTGTGTGTGTGTGTAAAAGAGAGTGCACTCACAGTGTTCTCCGAGGAGCTGAAAAGCTTACTGGGCGGAGCTCCTCCCTTTGCTGCGTCTCTACAGGAAGCAGGAAGCAGGAAGGGCAGGAGAGAGCTAGCTAGCCCAGCAAGGCTGACTCAGGAATTCTGGGAGTTGAAGTCCATGAGTCATAAAAGAGATGAGGTTGCCTACCCCTGAGCTTGCTGGACAACAGCTTGAAGCTTGCCAGGTGAGCAGCAGATGGGGGGGGGGAGAAAGAGAGAGAGAGAGGGAGGGGGAGAGAGAGAGGAAAGAGAGAGAGAAAGAAAGAGAGTGGGGGAAGAGGAGTGGCAGACCAAGGGCAGATAGAGAGGGAGGGAGGGACAGAGAGAGAGACCCTTTTGACATCTAAAATGAAGATAACACTGCATATATCCTTTTTTTACCTGTGTGTGTATGTAATTTTATTCTCTTAAAGCATTCTCTTTATCATTGTTTTAATAGTATGGATATTCCCAAGAGTCATATTTTTACTTTTATTTTTAATGTGTGTGTGTGTGTGTGTGTGTATGTACACACACACACACACACACACACACACACACACACCCCTATAATAAAGGTAAAAAAGGATATATGCAGTGTTATCTTTATTTTAGATATCAAAAGGGTTTTGCGGCTCCCGGTGTTTTGTTTTTGGTGGGAAACGGGCCAAGCGGCTCTTTGAGTGTTTTGGGTTGCCTACCCCTGAACTAGACATACCCAATTCCAGCAACCATTCCTTATGTTTTAGCCTCCAGTCCCCTAATCATCTTGGTTGCTCTTCTCTGTACTCTGTACTCTACTCTGTATTTAAGTTAGTCACACATTTGTTAAGTGAATCTAACTCACCCATTGACTTTGTTCAAAGGTAGAAAATGACTCCGGGACACTGCAACGGTCCTAAATAAGAGTCAGGTGCCAAGCATCTGAATTCCAATCACATGACCTTGGGGATGCTACAACGGTCATTAAGTGTGAAAAACAGTCATAAGGGACATTTTTCAGCGCCGTTGTCATTCAACAAACTTTTGTAAGTTGAGGACTACCTGCATATACAAATTCTTCCTTAGAACGGTGTTTTTCAACCTCGGCTACTTTAACGCTGGCTGAGGAATTCTGGGAGTTGAAGTCCACAGAGCTGTTGTGATTGAGAGATACTGCCTTGCAGCACACAGGTGGTGCTCAACTGACTTGGGACCACAATTGAGCCCAAAATTTTTGTTAAGTGAGACACTTGTTAAGTGAGTTTTGCCCCATTTTACGACCTTTCTCGCCACAGTTGTTAAGTGAATCATTGCAGTTGAGGTTAGTAACCCGGTTGTTAAGTGAATCTGGCTTCCCCATTGACTTTGCTTGTCAGGTCGCAAAAGGGGATCACGTAACCCCTGGGACACTGCAACCGTCATAAGTATGAATCAGTTATCAAGCGTCTGAATTTTGACCACATCATCATGGTGTAACTCAAAAACGGTCTTAAGTCACATCTTTCAGCACCCTCGTAACTTTGAACGGTCACTAAACGAACTGTTGTAAGTCGAGGACTACCCGTATGGAGAGGGATGAGTTCCACTCTTGGCATGTTTCACTGGCCACCTAGAAGGATGCTTTGTCTGGTGAAGGAACCCTGCGCATTAACGGCTTAATCCAAACTTTATTTAGCTGCAAGTGAACCTCCTCCCATGTTTAATACATTTAATATATTTAATACAACACGACATTTTTCTCATCAACCTCCGTGTGATTCATACAAGGAGGACCAACACTGATGCCTGCCCCAGGCTCGGAGCACCGATCTCACAGACTTTCTCCCCCACGTGGTTCCTTTTGTGTCTATCAAGGGCTGTTTTACGAGTGTAGCTTTTCCCACACTCAGCGCACCCGTAGGGTTTCTCCCCTGTGTGGATTCTCCGGTGTCGGATAAGGTTTGATTTCCAGCTGAAACGTTCCCCGCAAACCGGGCACTGACACGCCTGCTCTCCAGGTGGTGCTCTGCGGGGCACCCTCGGAAAAGTCCTCTGCCTGTGGCATTTGGGGCAGTCCAGTTTGCACTGGTGAGGCTTCTCCCCTTGGTGGTTTCTCTTGTGGGTCAGAAGGTCGATCCGGTGAGAGAACCGCTTCTCGCAGTGGGAGCACCTGTAAATCTTCTCTCCGATGTGAGCTCTCTCGTGGGTGACCAGGTCTAAGCTTTTCTCAAAACTCTTCCCGCAATAGGAGCATTTATAGATCCGTTCGCTTTCCGTCGGTGCGTTCTGATTCTCGGAACAATCCGCTCTTTGCTGGCGGTTTCTAGAGCGATCAAAACCGGCATCTCTTCCTTGATGGTTTTCCGTGGAGCCGTCTGTAGACACCTCTTCACAAAACAAGGCCAGGTCAGACTTTACTTCCGGCAAACTGTCCATTTCCTGCTTAATTTCAAGACCTTCCTGAGTGTTGGGGCTTTGGGTGAGTTTCCCCAGGGCTCTTTCCAATAATGTCCCATGATGGTTTATCTCCTTGGGTCTTTCTAGCCGAAAACCATCCTTAGAGTCCAGTGTTGAGTTACCTGATCCTGGAACAAACCGAAACAAAAAAGAGAGAACATAAAAACCAGGCACTTATTATCACATCTGGTGGGTGTGCCCCAGTGCAAAGAAATTCTGGCGTACGATTCATATACCGTTGGAAAAGATGACTAAAATACACATAGAATTTAGGCCAGAATTGTTTCTGCTAGGAATATTAGGATCTAATTATGGGAAAGAGAACGAGTATTTAACATTACATATACTGACAGCTGCAAGAATAGCATTTGCCCAATACTGGAAAAATGAAGATATACCATCAGATGAGATTATAATTAGGAAAATCTTAGAATGTGCAGAAATGGATAGATTAACGTTTAGAGATTAAAGAGAAAGAAGACTCAGTCTAGGGGAAAACTTTTATCAATGGTTAGCCAAATGAGATAATGAAACTGAAATTTATTAAGATTCATTTTTTTCTTTTGATTAATTGATATGCTTTATAATTTCTGTTATTTTTGTTGACTACTGTTACTGATTATTAGTAATAGTAATAGTAATAGTAGTAAAGTTGGAAGGGACCTTGGAGGTCATCTAGTCCAACCCCCTATTATATTAGCCCTGTGGAATACTTGTATCCGGATGACAGCTTGCTTGTTAAAGCATGAAATGTTATTGGGGGCAACCTCATTGGTGTACCCATTCCCACTTTAAATCCTCCCTTGAACCCCATCCTGAACCCCACCACTCATAATTATCCTTGCTTTCCCCATCCTGAAAAAAATAAAATATTTTTTTTAAAAAAAGAGAGAGAACGTAAAATAGTTACCTACAGGTAGACCTTGCAGCCATTTGTTTAGTGACCGTTCAAAGTTAACGACACTGAAAAAAAAAAGACTTATAACCTGTCCTTGCGCTTATGACCGTAGCAATATCCCCATGGTCATGAGATCAAAAAATCTGGGTGCTTGGCAACCGGTAAGCATTTACAATGGTTGCGGTGTCCTGGGGGGGGGGTGTCACGTGATCACCCTGTGCAACCTTCTCAGCCACCTCCCGACAGGCATAGTCAATGGGAGAAGCCACATTTGCTTAATGACATGCGATTCATTTAACAACGGAAGTGATTGGCTAAACAACTGCGCCAAAAAGTGTTTGTAAAATTGGGTGTGACTCACTTAACAAGCAAAAAAAAAAAAGAGCAATTGATGCGCAAATTGCGAAACGTATCGTCTATAATGTTTGGGGGGGAGGGGCATCGGATACAAGTTTTTCCAGATTTGTGCAATGAGACTTTACAATGGAGGAGAGAGATGCACTGAGTTTGTCAAATATTGAAGAAAAATAACATTAACTACAGCTAGGGATATCTGGGTTTTTTTGACATTTTCTTACAGTGGAAGGTTTTACAGAGTTAAACAAAGGAGGAGGCGATGGAGAAATTAAGAGAGCACGGAATCATCCATAAAGAAGATCCACAGGAGAAAGGGAAGCTGGATGAAGCAACAGGAGTTACAAGTTCATTGTAGGGATAGTATATAAGTATTTGTAATGTTATAATATATGTTGAGAGTCTAGAAAGAGTACAGAGAAGAGCAACAAAGATGATTAGCCACCCACCAATAATAATAACAATGTGGTTCTGGGGCTTGTGTGTTCTAAGGAAAGTGAGGACTAGGCCAGAGGTTCAACGACACTGTTCATAAATCAGAAGCACCATCAGAATTCTGGAACATACCTAAACCCGGCCCCTGATAGGCCTTTCCCAAGAAGTCACTTTCTGGGCTGGTCTCCATCCAGTGTAGGATCTTCACTCTGCCGGATGATTCCTGCATTGACGTGGAGGAGTTAATGTCTGCCAAAGGTCTCCTTAGCTGAAAGAGAAAGAAGGCAACACAACCGTGATTGCGACGTTGGGGGAAAAAACAAATATTAGGGCCTAAACCAGGGGTAGGCCACCTTGGCTCTTTTATGACTCGTGGACTTCAACTCCCAGAATTCCTGAGCCAGCAGGGCTCAGCTTGGAAACCTCTCCCTTTCCCCTCAGCATGGCTGGCTCGGGAATTCTGGGAGTTGAAGTCCATGAGTCATAAAAGAGCCAAGGTTGCCTACCCCTGGTCTAGATGGTCCTCATCTATACCCCACGATTCTTCCTCTAGTGCAGTGGTTCTCAACCTGTGGGTTGGGACCCCATTTGGGGTCGAACGACCATTTCACGGGGGTTGCCAAACAACGCAGTCCACCATTTTTTTCCCCCTTTTCCTTAGCTGTGCTACTCCCTTTTATTCTATTGGCTTTTGAAAGCCAATAGAATAGACTCTCTTGAATAGAGTCTCATTCTATTGGCTTTCAAAAGCCAATAGGAATTGTCCAGGCTGTCTCTGCCCTGCTGAGCCCGCCAAAAGTCCCATTCTGCAAACGGTGCTGCACCAGTTGAGTAGTCCTCGACTTACGACCGGTTGAGTAGTCCTCGACTTACGACCAGTTGGGAGTCGCGCATTAAAAAGGTTGAGAACCACTGCTCTAGTGCATTTCACACAATCAGGACAACTAACCCAAGCAACAAAAAGAAGGCTGGTGTAAGGACCTGCCCCAGCTGGTGCTCTCAGGAAAGCAGGACTCTTGATTCCAGAGGGTTAATCAAAAAATTTTTTACTGAAAGAAAGTGGTTGCAATAAAGCCAGGCAGAATCTAACAGCCTGTTGTGATTCCTTGCCAGCCAGTGGACCCGGCAGCTGAGTCTGAGGAATTAGAGGAGGAGGAGGAGGAGGAGGGGTCTGGAGTGCCATTAGAGTCAGACAAAGGCTCTGAGAAGCTCCAAGATTTACAATCGGACGAGGAGCCTGGCCCCTCTACTCGCACTCAGGCTGAGACACAGCTGTGCTGGGAGCCTGAGTTGGACAGTGTTGAAGAACAGTTGGGACAACTGGATGCACGAAAGCGCAGGCAAGAGAAGCGAGTGGGACAGAGAAATGCAATGGGGCGGCTCCAAAGGCAAAGGAGAAGGCATTAGGAAGCCACGCCTTGGCTGAATTATAAAAGGGAAGGTGTGGGAGGTGCTGGTTGCCGAAGGCAACCGTTCATGTTGAGGATCGAGTTTCTGTGGACTGTGTTTGTTTGCCTTGGACATTGACTCAGGTCTGTGAGAATAAAAGGGGTTGGTTTTTTTCTTGCGGTTCCTGCCTGTTTCTTGGAAGAGGGGTTTCTCCTTGTGAGCATAACAAGGACTCACGTAGGCTGGGACAGAACACAGCCCCACACAAAGCACCAAGCAATTCTTCCCCATCTCCAAACCCAATCCCCCCCTGACTAGTCCACCGGCAGGCAATGTGATGCCATAAGGTTGTTTTGAGAACAACGAGGTGCGAGCCAGATAACGGGGTTGTCCTCAGCCACAGCAACCTTGGAGTCAGGCTGGAAGCACGCGGTTACAGCAAAAGCGAAAGCGTGCCAAGAATGCTCCCCCAGAGCCGCCTCCTCCTCCTCCCCCCCCCCCCAATAGAATGGAAGGGCACCAGTATGGTAGACCTGACATCTGGCATCTTCTACTTTTTAAAAAATATATATTTTATTGATTTCTTTAACATAAACACCTTAATATTTGGTAAACAGTTGTGTTGTCTGGGCTTATATTTACAAAGTCATTCCTAACAATCAGTTTTTATATTCCAAAGTCCACACAATAGCTTTGCTTGATTTCCTCTTCTTCCAATAATATTCTCTTTGCCAACCTTGAATCAATACAATTCTTATTCATTCGATAGGTAACAATTTAAATATAATTTTTTGCCTGAAATTTCTACCCGTAATAATCACATCAATATCGTGCTTCTTTTCCATCTAGTCGTCTTGGTTGCCTCGTCATGAATCTTATTTACGATTCTTATTTAAATTTGTTTTCTTTACAATGTTCAAAACATTCTTACTGGATAAAAATTTCTCAAGGTTAATTACATTTAAGTATTTAAGTCCATTTTCATATCTTAAAAAGCCAATGAAAAAAGACACCAAAGAAAAAGGCAGAAAAGAATAAGAAAAAAATACACTACTTAAAATACATATCCCTCTTAAACTAGTATACACTTATTTCCATTTTTTTTCTGTTCTTTATACCCATCATTCAATTTATGTTTAATCTTTAAATGTTCCATTTAATAAATCCAACCATCTAATCTTTTAACTCTATTCAAGACATTTTTAGCTATCTATTAGAATTTTCTTAAGATCAATTACATTTAAATATCTAAAATATTTCCTTTATATTAACCATCCTAAACATTTTTATATTTCCCCATATCAAAAAAATAAAAAAAAGAGAAAAAGAAAAAAAAGAAAAAATACTCTGACATCTGGCATCTTCTCTCCATCGTTAATACCTATAGTATCTTATCTTTCCTCTAAATAGCTCAAGTTATGGTTTTTCCCAGGGGTAGGCAACCTCGGCTCTTTTATGACTCGTGGACTTCAACTCCCAGAATTCCTGAGCCAGCATGGCTCAGCATGGCAACCTCTCCATTTCTCCTCAGCATGGCTGGCTCAGGAATTCTGGGAGTTGAAGTCCACGAGTTATAAAAGAGCCAAGGTTGCCTACCCCTGACTTTGGGTTTTGCTGATTAGATAAGTTTGTTGTTATAGAAATGGCTAGGACAGGGTTAGACAACCTTGGCTCTTTTATGACTTGTGGACTTCAACTCCCAGAATTCCTGAGCCAGCCATGCTGAGGGGAAAGGGAGAAGTTTCCAAGCTCAGTCATGCTGGTTCATGAATTCTGGGAGTTGAAGTCTATGAGTCATAAAAGAGCCAAGGTTGCCTACCCCTGGTTTATCTGGTATATTCTCTTGATTATCAACCCTTTTGGTGTCCTCCAAAGTCCTCTTGAACCTGGGTCTCCCCCTTCTTGGTTCAATCCACTAAATCAGGGGTAGGCAACCTTGGCTCTTTTATGACTCGTGGACTTCAACTCCCAGAATTCCTGAGCCAGCCTGGCTCAGCTTGGAAACCTCTCCCTTTCCCCTCAGCATGGCCGGCTCAGGAATTCTGGGAGTTGAAGTCCACGAGTCATAAAAGAAACAAAGTTGCCCACCCCTGCTCTAAATACAGCAGTCTTCCAACTTTTCCGGCGTGATGGGCCGGTGGAGGCGTCAGCAGGGGAGGGTAGAAAAGACATTTTCACATGCGTGTGCATGCACATTGCTTTCACAAATTCAGCTTTGGGCGCACATGCACTTCTGCGGCCTGGTTCTGAACAGGCTGCGGCCCGCCGGTGGGCTGTAGACGGGGTGGGGTGGGGTTGGGGACCTCTGCTCTAATACAGGGCTTTTCAACCTTTTCACCCATTGTACCACTTTTAGGATATGGCAACATCCGAGTACCACCAATCACCTAGCAAGGTGTCAAAAACTTGATGACAAAAAAAAAGGAAAAAAGTGATACAGGTAATCCTCGACTTACAATAGTTCCCTTAGTGTGTTCGAAGTTACAATGGCACTGAAAAAAGTGCCCCCAAGCCACAGCTGAGCAAGATACCTGCCTGCCCCCCCGCGGCGCTCTTCCTCCTGTCCGAGGTTTTCATTGTTGTGAGCATTTCTGTTGAGAATTGGTAGCGGGGGGGGGGGTGTTTGGTTTTTATTCCCCCCGTCTGCTGGGTGGTTGCAGCAGGTTTTGGTCACTTCACATGACCCTGGGACACTGTGACCGTCATAAATATGAATCAGTTGCCAAGCATCTGAATGTAAATCACAAAGCCCTGGAGATGCTGCAACATTCCAGCTGATCGACGCTTCGTCTGGGCTCAGCAGAAGCGCCAGGATCAGCACCGAGCGAAAGCTGTAGCTTGGCGCTGATCCTGGTGCTTCCACTGAGCCCTGACAGCCCCGAAGAAACGCCGATCAGTTGGAAAGCGGCACTGATCCTGGCGCTTCCGCTGAGCCCTGACAGCCCTGCAGCTCCAACCGTCTCTTGCTGAGGCTTGTGCGGTGCTGCCACCGGTTCAGCTCAGTCCCCTCCCCCGCTAGCACTTTTCTAGGTTGGTCGCGTACCACCTGCCAGGTGCCAATGGACCACAGATGGTACCCGTACCACTGGTTGAAAAGCCCTGTTCTAATACAATATTTCTCCGCCTTATCAATTTAAGGACTTCAACTCCCAGAATGGTGCCAGCTGGGGAATTCTGGGAGTTGAAATACAACATTGTAAAGCTGATTAAATTGAAAAACGCTGCTCTAATAAATATACCAGGCTGGCTCTTATCTATCAACCTACCTTCCTCTCAAATCTGTATAGCTGCCCATCTTACAAGAGGTGACCCTGGGCAACACAGCAATGAAATAAAATCAGCAATTAAAATACAATAATTCCTTCCTCTTATCTTCTCTGAAATGACGGAAACCATCCAACCTTTCACAAACCAATCAGCTAGGCAGCAGTGTTTGGTGCGCGCACGCAAGCACAGGAGTATTGACAGCAGGTGTGTGTAAGCAGCTTGGTGTGGAAGGGCTGACCCTTTGACACATTGCAGTGTAAGCTCCACCCCCTTTCTAGATGTCACAAAGGGGTGGAGCTTGCTGTGCAATGTTGCAATGTGCCTTTTGCCATTCTAGAAAAAATGGTAGTGATGAGAGAACGGCCTGGACTCAGAAGTATAGAAAAACCAAATGCACAGGTAGTACCTTGCTCAATAGTAGTAACTGTGAGAGGGATCTCAGAATCCTAGTGGACAATCACTTACTGTAAATATGAGCCAGCACTGTGCTGCAGCTGCCAAAAAAGCCAACACAGGACTAGACTGCATTAACAGAGGGATAGAATCAAGATCACGTGAAGTATTAATACCACTTTCCAATGCCTTGGTAAGACCACACTTGGAATATTGCATCCAGTTTTGGTCACCGCGATGTAAAAAAGATGTTGAGACTCTAGAAAGAGTACAGAGAAGAGCAACAAAGATGATTAGGGGACTGGAGGCTGAAACATATAAAGGACAGTTGCTGGAATTGGGTGTGTCTAGTTTAATGAAGAGAAGGATGAGGGGGGACATGATAGCAGTGTTCCAGTATCTCAGGGGCTGCCACAAAGAAGAGGGAGTCAAGCTATTCTCCAAAGCGCCTGAAGGCAGGACAAGAAGCAACGGATGGAAACTAATCAAGGAGAGAAGCAACCTAGAACTAAGGAGAAACTTCCTGACAGTGAGAACAATTAACCAGTAGAACAACCTGCCTCCAGAAGCTGTGAACGCTCCAACACTGGAAGTTTTTAAGAAGAGACTGGACAGCCATTTGTCCGAAATGGTGCAGGGTTTCCTGCCTGAGCAGAGGGTTGGACTAGATGACCTCCAAGGTCCTTTCCAGCTTATTATTGTTGTTGTTTTGTTATTATTACTATTATTACTATATTATTATTATTTTGTTGTTGTTGTTGTTGTTGTTATTATTATTATTATGGATCATCGCACAGTCAGCCAGATGTTCAGACTGGATTTGGCATTTTGTCTACCTATCGAGTCCTTACCCAGGACCTGGGATAGGCAGATGTGGATGTTCGATGGTATTAAGGTATCGTCGCAGGATGGAAGCAGTTCCTAGTAAGGCTGCCTTTTGCAATTAACTAATGGCAAATTTGTCTTATTATTATTATTATTACTATTACTATTATTATTATTATTATTATTATTATAATAGAACGACCTTGGCCAACATATGATTTACTCTTTTATACCCCTGTCCTTAACCTCCCTCAAAGGGAGTGGAGCATCGTGCACAGATTCACCAGTGCAAGATTTAACACCTGCAGAAACTGGTAGAACTGCAGCTAGACTGCACGAGAAGAAATAGGCCGAGGAGGACAGGAGAACAGCCAAAAAAATTACATTTCAGTTCAATTTAATGGCAGTTGATATAACCTTTGCCACCACCACCCTCCCGTTTTCAATCATCTCTCTCTTTCTTAGCACACTCAGTCTTAACATTTGGGGGGGAAGTGGGAGGCGCCTTCTGAAAGAGCAACAAGGACGGTCCCCAAATGGGACAGACTCACTTTTTCTTCCAGTCTGCCTTGGGTCTCTCTGTTCAGGCTCTCCTCCTCGGGCGCAAGCTCTTCCTTCACATCCGCAGGGTCAGCAAAACCGAGGGGCCTTCCCCCACCGAAGCTGATCCGGGTCCGCAGTGCCTCCTCTTCCTCGGCACTGGCTTTCCAACATTTCTGGGATTCTCTCATGCTAAATTCCAAGGAGGGTGGAGAAAACCCCATCGTCCTCCAGGAACAGCGGCACTCCTGCTTGGGCCCAGCAGCCGGACTGCGCCAAGCCTTGGGCTCGCTTTCGCTGGGGAGACGGAAAAAGGGACGGCTTCTTTCTTCTCCATCATCTGTTTCCTGCTCAGATTTGTCAGCTGCTCCTGCCGGCTGGTCCTCTGCATTTATTTCTGGTTGCAGCTCCTGGACTGAGAAGGAAGAGCCTGGCTGATTTTAGGCAACAGCACTGCCCCCCAATCCCATGGTCCATGAAAAAAAGAGAGGGAGGAAGAGAGAGAGAGAGAGAGAGAGAGAGAGAGAGAGAGAGAGAGAGAGAGAGGGAGGAAGAGAGAAAATGGATGGCAGAAGAAACAGAGATTTACAGATTCATGAACCAGGCTCTGTAAAGCTCAATTCATACTCATACACAAACACACACACACACACACAAAAAGACAAACCAGGGGTGGCCAGCACCCTTTCAGGCAACACCTGGCAAGGTCTTTGCAACCCCTTCACCAACAACCATACTTTTCCCTGAGAGAGAGGAAGAGAGAGAAAGAGAGAGGGAGAGAGGGACAGGGGAGAGGAAGAGAGGGGAGAGAAGAGGAAAAGGAGAGGGAGGGAGGGAGAAGGAAAGGCGAAAGATGGAAAAGGAGAGAAAGAGGATGGGGAAGAGGGAGAGAAGAGAAATAAGGTGGAGAGAGGAGGGAAAGAGGGGAGAAAGAGGATGGGAAAGAGGGAGAGAAGAGAAAGAAGGCGGAGAGAGGAGGGAAAGGGGAGAAAGAGGATGGGAAAGAGGGAGAGAAGAGAAAGAAGGCGGAGAGGAGGGAAAGAGGGGAGAAAGAGGGAGAGAAGAGAAAGGAGAGAGGAGGGAAAGAGGGGAGAAAGGATGGGAAAGAGGGAGAGAAGAGAAAGGAGAGAGGAGGGAAAGGGGAGAAAGAGGATGGGAAAGGGAGAGAAGGTGGAGAGAGGAGGGAAAGAGGGAGAGAAGTGAAAGAAAGTGGAGAGAGGAGGGAAAGGGGAGAAAGGATGGGAAAGAGGGAGAGAAGAGAAAGAAGGCGGAGAGAGGAGGAAAAGAGGGAGAGAAGAGAAAGGGCAGAGAGAGGAGGGAAAGGGGAGAAAGAGGGAGAGAAGAGAAAGAAGGCGGAGAGAGGAGGGAAAGGGGAGAAAGAGTATGGGAAAGAGGGAGAGAAGAGAAAGAAGGCGGAGAGAGGAGGGAAAGAGGAGAAAGCGGATGGGAAAGAGGGAGAGAAGAGAGAAGGCGGAGAGGAGGGAAAGGGGAGTAAGAGGATGGGAAAGAGGGAGAGAAGAGAAAGAAGGCGGAGAGAGGAGGGAAAGGGGAGTAAGAGAATGGGAAAGAGGGAGAGAAGAGAAAAAGGTGGAGAGAGGAGGGAAATTGGAGAAAGAGGATGGGAAAGGGAGAGAAGGTGGAGAGGAGGGAAAGAGGGAGAGGTGAAAGAAAGTGGAGAGAGGAGGGAAAGGGGAGAAAGGATGGGAAAGGGAGAGAAGAGAAAGACGGCAGAGAGAGGAGGGAAAGAGGGAGAGAAGAGAAAGAAAGCAGAGAGGAGGGAAAGAGGAGAGAAAGGATGGGAAAGAGGGAGAGAAGAGAAAGAAGGTGGAGAGAGGAGGGAAAGGGGAGAAAGAGGATGGGAAAGGGAGAGAGAAAGAAGGCGGAGAGAGGAGGGAAAGAGGGGAGAAAGAGGATGAGAAGAGAAAGAAGGCGGAGAGAGGAGGGAAAGAGGGGAGAAAGGATGGGAAAGAGGAGAGAAGAGAAAGAAGGTGGAGAGAGGAGGGAAAGGGGAGAAAGAGGATGGGAAAGAGGGAGAGAAGAGAAAGAAGGCGGAGAGAGGAGGGAAAGAGGGGAAAGAGGGAGGGGAGAGAGGGGAGAGGACAGAAAGAGGAAGAAGAGAGGAGAGTAGAAGAGAGGGAGACGGAGAGATGGGAGAAGCAGAGGGAGATGAGAGGTAGAAGGAAATGAGGGGAGAGAGAAAAGAGGAAGGGGAGAAAGGAGGAAAAGAGGAGAGAGAGAAAGAGAGAGGGAAGAGAGAAAATGGGTAGCAGAAGAAAGAGATTTACAGATTCATGAACCAGGCTCTGTAAAGCTCAATTCGTACACACATACACACACAAAAAAAGAAACCAGGAGTGGCCAGCACCCTTTCAGGCAACACCTGGCAAGGTCTTTGAACCCCTTCACCAACAACCACACTTTTCCCTGAGGGTGGGGGGAAGGGAGAGAGGAGGAAAGGGGAAACCAGCTGCCATCTTAATTCCACTTAATATTCCCAAAAGGAAACTATATCCAAGGCCTGGGGAGGAAAGTAACTGTGCAGCAAAATTCAGCTGCCGGGAGAGTTGGGCCAGCCTAGGTTCTGGAACTGCTTTTGCAGGAAACTGTTGCAGCCCCAGAAAGGAGAAAGATCCGAGTCAGTTGCAGCAGCATCACCCCTTTGAAGCCCAGGGTGCCTTACTTAGAAAGGCCACCATCCCATAATTTTCCGCCATGACCTCCTGGTACAGGGCCCGCTGTCCTGCGTCCAGCAGCGTCCACTCCTCGTCGGTGAAACGCACGGCCACTTTTTCGAAGGTCAGAAGCCCCTGTTGAGCAGACAAAGGACGTCGACGTTGATTCCTATTCAATGTTTGGCACAGCCGGCCCTCGACTTATGACAGTTCGCTTAGCGACCGCTCGAAGTTGCAACGGCACTGAAAAAAGGGACTCAGGACCCCTTTTCGCACTTACGGTGTCAGGATAATAATTTAACAGCTAAACAGCTGATGTAATGATGTAATGTAATGTGGAGATGAATGATGCAATATAGGAATGACTCAGCAGGTGTGTGTATCCCTTTAAGAGCCTGAGTATAAAAGGGAAGGCCTTTTGCTGCTGTGTTCTCTCTCTTGTCGTTTCCTGCTGTTATTGCTGTATATTGGAGTGAATGGCCACATGTATGTATCTTGTTTCTAGTCTATATTTGTAGATAGTGTAATATAAACCACCGTTTAATACAAACCACTGTTTACTATATTTACTCCTGGGTTACCTTAGTGCAATGGGACGTGCATGCTCTGACATATGGCCATTGCAGCATCGCCATGGTCACGTGATTTACATTCGGACGCTTAACAACTGACTCACATTTATGATGGTTGCAGTGTCACATGGTGCAATAAGATTGCGTGTTTGTTGTCACTGTGAGTTGCGATGGGGGGGTGCAACGAAGGGAGGCTCAGCCAATCTCATTGTACACATGTTGTACTTTGACAACAAAGGGTTTGTGATTTGTCTCACTTAACAATAGAAATCTTGGGGTCAACTGCGGTCGTAAGTCAAGGACTACCTGTATAACAGTTGCAGTACCCCATGATTACCATATGTGACCTTCCTATCTGGCTTCCAACCAGGAAAGTCAATGGAGAAAGCCACCAGGGAAGGTCACAAATTGAGATCACATGATGTCTCGCTTAACGGCAGTGATTCACTTAATGACTGTGGCGAAAAAAGGTTCACAAAATCAGCTGCGGTTCACATGCTGCCTTGCCTAACAATCCCACTGCTTAACAATGAATTTTCCAGTCCCAATTGTGGTCATAAGTTGAGGACTTCGTGTAGCGTTATTTCAAGCTATGGCAGACATGTCAAACACAAGGCCCGGGGGCCGGATGTGGCCTGCGAAGTGGTTTCATGTGGCCCACGAAGCCATCCTGGAAACAGTGAGGGAACGGCCCCCACTGCCTTGGCCCTGGCCAATGTACAATTTTGTGGTGGACATCTATGCTGAAATGCATTCAGTCTTAGCTCCACAAGGCCGTCCAGAAACAGCGAGGGACCAACCCCTGCCGTGTCAACCCCGCCCCCGGGTGCATGCTGGGGAGGTGTCACCCTTTGTGAGGAATGAAGAAATGCACCATGCCTTGGCGCTTGCCCCGGTCCCACCCCCTTCTGCCAGAGACCCTCAGATCTGTCCCACTCCTGCCCAGGCCCCCACAGCCACCCTTGACGTGAACAATGTAGAGTTGGTGATGCCCACCCAGTAGGCCACGCCCACTCCATCCACGCCCACTCAGTAGGCCGCACCCACCCTGGCTACACCCACCCCAAGGGCAACCGCAATGCTGCTGCGGCCCTCAATGAAATTGAGTTTGACACCCCTGAGCTATGGGGAGGGTCTGGGTGGGAGAGGCTCAAAACAGACTCAAAGCATTTGTCAAATCCCTCCTGATTACGTCATTCTAGTGGCCCTAAGGCTGAACTGAGAAGTTGCTCACAAGCGGTCAAGACTGATTCGCCCTTTCACCTACATTTTCTCCCTTGCTCATAGCTTGAAAAGATTTGGGTATGCCAAGGGGGGAGGGTGGTATCTAGGCAACCGAGGCGTCTTTGAGAGCTTGGTACTGATAACGCCAAGGTCACTAACGCAGGTGCTCGATGGAGAAGTGGACTTTTCCCATAACAAGAAAAAGTATTATTACTACTACTACTACTACTACTACTACTACTACTACTACTACTAACAATAACAATAATAATAAAATTGGAAGGGACCTTGGAGGTCATCGAGTCCAACCCCCTGCTCAGGCAGGAAACCCTATACCATTTCAGACAAGTGACTATCCAGTCTCTTCTTAAAAACTTCCTGTGTTGGAGCATTCACACCTTCTGGAGGCAGGTTGTTTCACTGGTTAATTGTTCTAACTGTCAGGAAGTTTCTCCTTAGTTCTAGGTTGATTAATTTCCATCCATTGCTTCTTGTCCTGCCTTCAGGCGCTTTGGAGATTAGCTTGACTCCCTCTTCTTTGTGGTAACCCCTGAGATATTGGAACACTCCTATCATGTCCCCCCTCATCCTTCTCTTCATTAAACTAGACATACCCAATTCCAGCAGCCGTTCCTTATAGGCTTTAGCCTCCAGTCCCCTAATCATTTCTGTTGTTCTTCTCTGGACTCTTTCTAGAGTCTCAACATCTTTTTTTACATCACAGTGACCAAAACTGGATGCCGTATTCCAAGTGTTGCCTTACCAAGGCCTTGTAAAGTGGTATTAACACTTCACGTGATCTTGATTCTATCCCTCTGTTAATGCAGCCTAGCACTGTGTTGGCTTTTTTTGGCAGCTGCAGTACACTGGACAATGTGAACATCCGGTGGGTGGGGGCGAGGGAATCTATTGTTTAATTAAGTAAGCTTTTTGAGTGAGAAAACCAGAGCTGGTTTGGCTTCTTCTGTGCCAATGTAAATTTTCAGTAAAGTGTTATGCCCTTGGTAAAATCATGTGCCGGGAGTTTCTTTTTCTGGAAATGCCACCTGGACAGTTGACACAAGTGCTCTAAAGCAGGGATTTATAAGCCTCTTTAGCCTATTAGCTAAATTACCTTACTCATCATCTGCAACACGATAGTCATGACATGATTTTACAGGATGACAAGCCCTGCCTTTTCATGTGCTTTCTTCTCTCTTTTTGCCCTAATTTCCCAGGAACCCCACCACATTTTTTTTGCAGAATCCTAACATTCAGCTTGAAAATCCCTGCTCCAAAGCTTCCCATCTCCAGTGAGTATAATAATAGTTATACCTGGCTGAGCAGCCTAGCAGTCGTTCCTCCGTCATTAGAAAAACTCCTTGGGTCCAAGGCTGTCTGAAGAAACTCTGTGGTGGAATCTAAGAAGTAAAGCAGATTCTTATCTTCATTGACATTCACATATACGTCACTTTTCAGGTGCTGGAGGTTATTTTAAAAAAAGCCTTATTCAACTTGAACCCGCTCGCAAACTTTGGTATTGTTTGCAAGGCTCCAGATCTAATTTGTCCAGCCTACCCAGTCTAGCCAGGCGGGGGACCTGTTGGAAGACCATCCTGTTTCTATATCAGGTCAATTCCCACCTTTTACCATTTAGCAAAGTAATGAAAACAGCCCTTTTTTCCCCCTGCAAATCATTTGGAAGGAGTGATCTCCCCAAAGCCAGAATGGTGGAAGGGAAGCTCCAGATATTAATGGATTTATTCTCTGTCAAACGGTAGTTTTAATGGTTTTTCAGCCTGGAAGCTACCAAGAACCAAGCAGACAGGGGACAGACCAATTTTTGTAAGGAGATAGATCAGTGGTTCTCAACCTGTGGATCGGGATCCCATTTGGGGTCGAACGACCATTTCACCGGGGTCGCCAAACAACGCAGTCCACCATTTCCCCCCCGCCCCTTTTCCTTAGCTGGGCTACTCCCTTTTATTCTATTGGCTTTTGAAAGCCAATAGAATAGACTCTCTTGAATAGGAATTGTCCAGCCTGTCTCTGCCCTGCTGAGCCCACCAAAAGCCCCATTCTGCAAACGGTGCTGCACCAGTTGAGTAGTCCTCGACTTACGACCAGTTGAGTAGTCCTCGACTTATGACCGGTTGGGGGTCGCGGCATTAAAAAGGTTGAGAACCACTGAGATAAAGGGACACAAAACCTTGTTTATTAGATCCTCGAAAAAGATTCCCCTCCTTTTGCTAAAACCATGCCATGCTCAGCATCGGATGCAAGGCGAGACACCGGGAGGGTCTTCTCTCAAACTCTGCCAAATATAAGTAGCTCTTGACTTATATGTCAGCATGACAGCTGTTAAGCGAATTTTTGCCTCATTTTACGACCTTCCTTGCCACAGTTGTTAAGAGGATCACTGCAGCTGTTCAGTTAGTAACACAGTTGTTAAGTGAATCTGGCTTCCCCATTGACTTTTCTGGTCATAAAGGTTGCAAAAGGAAACCCCAGGACGCTGCAACTGTCATAAAGAGGAACCAGTTGCCAAGCATCCAAATTTTATAATAATAATAATAATAATAATAATAATAATAATAATAATAATAATAATAATAATAAATATGGTGAGACGTAAATTGCAGAATGCCATACCGGCTCGGACGTCGCCCGGGTTAACAAGGTCCGCACTAGATATTGGAGTTCCTGGATATCTGGTGAAAAATGGGTTACAGGACTCAGGACTGTTGGCTGAGCAACCAGGGCCAGCAGCTGCAGAACTACTGGAAGAAAAGGTGTTTACCCGTCGCAGATACACAGTGATGGAAAACAAAGAAATAATGATCTGTTACTACAGATCAAGTCCAACAAGAAGAGGATATCTAAAACGAATGCACCAGTTCTGGAAAGAACAACATCCAGAATCAGAAATAACAGAACAGAGACTAGCAGATCAACGCCGATTTATAACACGAAATAAAGTATTCACAGAAACAGAATTGGACGAACTGCAAAGGTTTACCCAGGGCAAAGAAATCAAAGCCTTACCAGAAGTAATTCAGAATGTAGAGGCAAACCAGGGGGAGTTGGCAGTGAAGGAATCCAGCAGAGATATACAACTGTTCTCATTTGGAAACCAGGCACCTCTACCTCAGGAAGAACAAAACCCTCTAACTAAAGAAATAAAAGAATTGAAACAAAGAATAACTGAGCATCTAGAACAGCACAAAAACAACAGAATAAGGCTACCTGCATTGAAGCTTGTTCCAAAGAAACAGCTAGCACAAGCATTAAAAGATGCAAATACTGCAATAGCAAGTATAAGCACCAATTCACTGCAAGAAACAAACCAACTAATGTACAGCACAGCTGCAGTTATAACAGAATACCTGGGATGCAAAATCAACAAAAAAGAAAAACAAACAAACAGTGCACCAGAAAAATGGAAGGTTAGACTAGAAAATAAGATCAGCAAGTTAAGATCACATGCAAGCAAGCTAGAACAGATGAAAGAAAAGAAGCTGAAGAACAAGAAGACCAAAGAATACCTAATCAAGAAATACCACTTAGAAACAAGGAAGATCAAGGAAGCACTGGAAATAATAAAGCAACAAATAACAGCTATAGCCAGGAAAGTCAGTAGATATGAAGCTCGAATTGCAAACTATAGGCAGAACCTCCAATTTCAATCCAATCAGAAACGTTTCTACCAATCCATCAATGGAGAAACTGCAAGGAATCAGTCAGTACCTGACAAGGAAGAAACAGTGCAGTTCTGGAAGCAGATATGGGATAACCCAAAGAAATACAACAAGGATGCGGCTTGGTTAAAAGAGGTGGATGCAAATAAAACAGAAGTTGAAATGAAAGAACTAGTAATAACAACAAAAATGGTAGAAAAAAGAGCAAAGAAAATCAAAAATTGGTCAGCACCAGGTGAAGATGAACTGCATGGGTTTTGGTTGAAACATCTAACTGTTATACACCCACTCATTGCCAAGCAGTTCAACAATATACTACAAGGAGGAGAAATTGAAAAGTGGCTAACAACTGGGAAAACCTACCTAATAATGAAAAATCCAGCAAAAGGGGCAACACCAGATAACTACAGGCCAATTACCTGCTTACCAACAACTTTCAAATTACTAACTGGTGTGGTAGCTGATGCAGTACAACAGCATCTAGTTGAAAACAATCTCTTTCCACCTGAGCAGAAAGGAAACCGCCCCAATAGCAGAGGAACAAAAGATCAACTCCTAATAGACAAAATGATCTTGGAAAACTGCAAGAGAAGGAAGACCAACCTGAATGTGGCATGGATTGACTACAAAAAGGCATTTGACTCTCTACCACATGATTGGATAATAAAGTGCCTAGAAATAACAGGAGTCAGTAGAAACATCAGAAAATTTGTGCAAAGATCGATGGCACAATGGAAGACACAGTTGCAGATCAATGGTGAGAGGCTGGGAGAGGTTAATATCAAGAGAGGAATATTTCAAGGAGATTCATTATCACCATTACTATTTGTTATTGCACTGTTTCCTCTGTCAACAATACTGAATAACTCAGGACATGGCTATCAAACATCAAAAACATCTGCCAGACTATCCCACCTCCTTTACATGGATGATCTGAAGCTGTATGGAAAAACATCATCTGAAATAGAATCGCTGCTCAACACTGTCCGTATATATAGCCAAGATATTGTAATGGAGTTTGGCTTGGACAAATGTGCCACACTTACTATCAAACAAGGAAAAATAGTGAAAACTGAAGGAATCAAGATGCCCCACGAAAATAACATTAAGAGTCTGGATGAGGAAGAGTACTACAAATACTTGGGTATCCTTCAAGCTGACAACATCAAGCACACTGAAGTCAAGAAAAAGATTAGAGGTGAATACATCAAGAGAGTGAAGAAGATCTTAAAATCCAAACTCAATGGAGGAAATACCATAAAGGCAATCAACACCTGGGCAATCCCAGTCATTAGGTACACAGCTGGAATAGTGGACTGGACTCAAGCAGAACTAAAAGCAATGGATAGGCAGACCAGAAAAATAATGACAATGAATCATGCCCTTCATCCACGCAGTGACATTGATAGACTTTATCTACCAAGGCAAATAGGTGGGCGTGGAATGCTACAAGTACATCAGATGGTTGAAGAAGAAAAAATGGCTTTGGAAGAATATCTGAAGAACAATGATGAAGATGCACTGAAATTAGTATATCAGGAAGGCTTACTAACTACTGGAGAGACCAAACTGGCCTACAAGAAAGACCAAATGAAGAACAGAATAGAGGCATGGGAAGACAAAGCACTACATGGCCAATACATTAAAAAAATAGCTGGGAAAGCAGATAATAATAAGACCTGGCAATGGCTAAGAGCAGGAAAATTGAAGAAAGAGACCGAGGGACTAATTCTGGCTGCACAAGACCAAGCCTTAAGGACAAATGCATACAAAGTCAAAATTGAGAAGACAGCAACAGACAGTAAGTGCCGCCTATGCAAAGAAGCTGAAGAAACAGTGGACCACCTGGTAAGCTGTTGCAAGAAGATTGCACAAACTGATTACAAGCAGCGGCATGACAAAGTAGCAACAATGGTGCATTGGAAGATCTGCAAAAAATATCATTTGCCTGTAAGCAAAAACTGGTGGGATCATAAAATAGAGAAAGTCATAGAAAATGATAAAATTAAACTGCTCTGGGACTTCAGAATTCAAACAGACAAGCACCTGCAACATAACACCCCAGACTTAACAATTGTCGATAAGAAAGACAAAAAAGTCTGGATAGTGGACGTGGCAGTGCCTGGAGATAGCAGAATAGAAGAGAAAGAACTGGAGAAGATAACAAAATACAAAGACCTACAAATAGAAATAGAAAGACTGTGGCAAAAGCAAGCAAGGGTAGTACCAATAGTCATAGGCTCCTTGGGTGCAATCCCAAAACAACTGGAGCACCACTTGAACACCATTGGCATTGACAAATTCGCTATTAGTCAATTGCAAAAGGCGGCCTTACTAGGAACTGCTTCCATCCTGCGACGATATCTGTAATACCATCAAACATCCACATCTGCCTATCCCAGGTCCTGGGTAAGGACTCGATAGGTAGACAAAATGCCAAATCCAGTCTGAACATCTGGCTGACTGTGCGATGATCCATAATAGTAGTAGTAGTAGTAGCAGCAAAAGGCGGCCTTACTAGGAACTGCTTCCATCCTGCAATGATATCTGTAATACCATCAAACATCCACATCTGCCTATCCCAGGTCCTGGGTAAGGACTCGACAGGTAGACAAAATGCCAAATCCAGTCTGAACATCTGGCTGACTGTGCGATGAGCCACAATAATAATAAAGTTGGAAGGGACCTTGGAGGTCATCTAGTCCAACCCCCTGCTCAGGAAGGAAACCCTATACCATTTCAGACAAATGGCTGTCCAGTCTCTTCTTTAAAACTTCCAGTGTTGGAGCATTCACAGCTTCTGGAGGCAGGTTGTTCCACTGGTTAATTGTTCTAACTGTCAGGAAGTTTCTCCTTAGTTCTAGGTTGCTTCTCTCCTTGATCAGTTTCCATCCATTGCTTCTTGTCCTGCCTGCAGGTGCTTTGGAGAATAGCTTGACTCCCTCTCTTTGGGGCAGCCCCTGAGATATTGGAATACTGCTATCATGTCCCCCCTCGTCCTTCTCTTCGTTAAACTAGACATACCCAATTCCAGCAACCGTTCCTTATATGTTTTAGCCTCCAATCCCCTAATCATCTTTGTTGCTCTTCTCTGCACTCTTTCTAGAGTCTCAACATCTTTTTTACATCGCGGTGACCAAAACTGGATGCAGTATTCCAAGTGTGGTCTTACCAAGGCATTGGAAAGTGGTATTAATACTTCACGTGATCTTGATTCTATCCCATCAGTTTTTAGTGCCCATGAAACTTTGAACAGTTCTACATCGAGGACTATGTGTATTGTGAGAAGGAAGGCCTCTGATGCTGGTCTTGCTCTCAGAAATGGCAAATCTCCTGCCTAAAAAAGGTAGATCCAGGAACGGGTTCCAGTTGCTAAATGAAGCCTCCCCTTTCAGAGGCCATCTATCGCTCTGAAGAAAAGGCTTGGGAGCAATAGCAATAGCACTTAGAGCAGTGGTTCTCAACCTTTTTAATGCCGTGACCCCCAACCAGTCGTAAGTTGAGGACTACTCAACCGGTCGTAAGTCAAGGACTACTCAACTGGTGCAGCACTGTTTGCAGAATGGGACTTTTGGTGGGCTCAGCAGGGCAGAGACAGCCTGGACAATTCCTATTGGCTTTTGAAAGCCAATAGAATTAGACTCTATTCAAGAGAGTCTATTCTATTGGCTTTCAAAAGCCAGTGGAATAAAAGGGAGTAGCACAGCTAAGGAAAAGGGGAAAAAAAATGGCGGACTGCATTGTTTGGCGACCCCCGTGAAATGGTCGTTCGACCCCAAATGGGGTCCCGACTCGCAGGTTGAGAACCACTGACTTAGACTTATATATGGCTTCACAGTGTTTTACAGCCCTCTCTAAGCGGTTTACAAAGTCAGCATATTGTCCCCCAACAAGAGCCAATAAGACTTGAACTGCTGAACTGTTGGCAACCCACAGTCAGTAGAAGTGATACATACATATATACATACGTGTTTGTGTGTGTGTATTCAAAATTTGTGGCTGGCAAAGAGTTAGTGGGAGACTAGTATAGCTATTTCAGGCTCATTAGCCTTCATCAGCTAGTCTCACCCTTCAGGGATTCGAACCTGGGCAGCTTGCATGTTAGGTAGCTGTATTTCCCTTTTGAGCCACAGGTTCCTCCTTACTCCTGTCAGCAGAAACCAGAGAGGATATATATCTTATCTGTTGTGTAATACAGCTGCCTAACATGCAAGCTGCCCAGGTTCGAATCCCTGAAGGGTGTGACTAGCTGATGAGGGCTAATGAGCCTGAAATAGCTATACTAGTCTCCCACTAACTCTTTGCCAGCCACAAATTTTGAATTTATAGTGCTCACAGCATGTGACGTCTGCCTGCAAAACATGCTCCTAGATTGGAGCAAAACGCAGAACAGACTGATTTATATTTGGTAGACCGGGTGCCTCACCCACTTAGCTGTATATAGAGCACTTATATACCGCTTTGCAGTGCCTCACAGCTCTTGGCCCCAACAATCTGGCTCCTCATTTTACCCACCTCAGAAGGATGGAAGACTGAGTTAACCTGGAGCCGGTGAGAATCGAACTGCTGGCAGTCCGCAGAATTAGCCTATCATACTGTATTGTAACCACTGCGCCACCACGTCTCTTAAACGAACAGATAGGCCTGTCAAGAAAGGAGGGCCTGATTTGCCACCACATTGATCTGAATCAGCAGAGCATTTAGTACAGTGGTTCTCAACCTGTGGGTCGGGACCCCATTTGGGGTCGAACGACCATTTCATGGGGGTCGCCAAACAACGCAGTCTGCCATTTTTTTCCCCTTTTCCTTAGCTGTGCTACTCCCTTTTATTCTATTGAAGTGGTTCTCAACCTGTGGGTCGGGACCCCATTTGGGGTCAAACAACCATTTCACGGGGGTTGCCAAACAACGCAGTCCGCCATTTTTTTCCCTTTTCCCTAGCTGTCCTACTCCCTCTTATTGGTGGCCACACCCACTTGGGGGTCACCACAACATGGGGAACTGTTTTATGGGGTCATGGCATTAGAAAGGTTGAGAACCACTGTTCTATTGGCTCTTGAAAGCCAATAGAATAGACTCTCTTGAATAGAGTCTAATTCTATTGGCTTTCCAAAGCCAATAGGAATTGTCCAGGCTGTCTCTGCCCTGCTGAGCCCACCAAAAGCCCCAGTCTGCAAACGGTGCTGCACCAGTTGAGTAGTCCTCAATTTACGACCAGTTGGGGGTCGCGGCATTAAAAAAGTTGAGAACCACTGATTTAGTACAATTTATTTTCCAAAGCACCTTAAGACAGGACAAGAAACAATGGATGGAAACTAACCAAGGAGAGAAGCAACCTGGAACTAAGGAGAAACTTCCTGACAGTTAGAACAATTAACAAGTGGAACAACCTGCCTCCAGAAGCTGTGAATGCTCCAACACTGGAAGTCTTTAAGAAGAGACTGGACAGCCATTTGTCCAAAATGGTGTAGGGTTTCCTCCCTACTAGATGACCTCCAAGGTCCCTTCTAACATTATTATTATTATTATTATTATTATTATTATTATTATTATTATTATTATTATTATTATTATTCGTGTCTTGCACAGAGGTCTCACTGACTTGTTTTTGGTGTTGCCTTTCTCTCCCCTCTTCCCCACCCCACCAAAACCTTTAATTCACGACCTCCAAGAGGCCCCTTGCATTCCCCTCCGCCAAGCCATCTCACAATCAGCCCCGGTTCCTGCAGCGAAAAGAAAACACACCTCCATCCCCACGTCCGCCTGGTTTTGTAACTTGGGAATGTGCCTCAGCAAGCACAACGACGGGCTGGGATTGTGTTGCTTTCACCCGTTCCGGTGGAAGTTTCTGCAAAGAGTCTGCAACAGCCGGTGCAAAAGTTGCACATTCCTCATTGCGACGGTTGTTATTGGGGCTCAATGGAGACCTTGTAGCAGTTTGAAGTTGCTCCTGGTGCACAGTGACAATAGGGTAGAGAATCTCCTCCTTTCCCATCGTCTCCTTCCTCTTGCTTGACTGAGTGACTGGTGCCTTTATGGGTGACAGACCGAATACGCTGGTTGAACTCTCATCATCATCATCATCACTGCTGTGTGATGGGGAAACACTTGAGTCCCTGGATGCAAGGTGTGATGTGAATGAGATCTCCTCCATACTCAAGGTTGAATCCAAGGAGTTGTGCCCTACAGGAACTGGAGTGATATCAGGCTGTAATTATACAATTTGTGCCAATGATTATCCAAACAGACAGATACGCAGTTACACACATAACACTTTTAAAGACATCAGTGCAATTAGCGTGAAAAATCTAGTGAAAGTTAAGCAGAGCTTATTTGTACAGCACTGTTCAGACTATATTATTGTTGTGATTCCGTGCCAGCCTGTGCTCCCAACAGCTGAGTCTGAGGGATCTGAGGAGGAGGTGGAGGAGGCATTTGAAGGGCCATCAGGGGCAGAGGGAGGCTCCGATGAATTACAGGACTCACGGTTTGATGCAGAGCCTGGGCCCTCCAGTCGTGTTCCTGATGAAGCTCAGTTGTGTGAGGAGAATGAGTCAGACTCGGAGGACTCACATCTGATGGACGTGCTAATTGATGCACGCACACGTTGTCAATTAGTGAGAGTAAATCAGCAGCAGTCAATACAGCAACTCCAGGATAAAAGGAGAAGGCACTGAGAGGCAACACCTTGGGACTGCTGTATAAAAAGAGGAGGTGTGGGCAGTGCTGGTTGCTGAAGGCAATCGTTTGCAAAGCACTTCATGGGATCCTGGTCTGTTCGTCTTGCTTGTGACTACTCTTCTGTTTGCATCGTGTTTCATATGGACTATTCCTTCCATTTGAATCGTGTTTTGCTGTTTGTGTTTTGGACTATTTGGCAGGCTTGTCACCCATATTAAAAGGGGTTTGTTTTGTTTTAAAGTCTCCAGCATATTTTATCAACAGGGGTTTGGTCCTTGTGCCTTTAACAAGGACAGCTATAGGCTAGGATAGAACAATTATGAATGCAGTGCTAGTTGCTTTAATAATGCAATGCTATTTGCTTATGTATGTCTGGGTCAGAACAGAGGTAATTACTGTCGACTCCAAAGCTACAAAAGCGGAAGGAGTGTGTTGGTGGCTCAAAAGAGACCATGTACCTAGTTCTCTACAAATGTAAAAATGTTGTAGATTAGGACAGGGCTTTTCAACCTTTTCACCCATTGTACCACTTTTAGGATACGGCAATATCCGAGTACCACCAGTTGCCTAGCAAGGTGTCAAAAACCTGATGACCAAAAAGAAAAAAAAAGGAAAAAAGTGATAAAGTATAGGTAGTCCTTGACTTACAACAGTTCGCTTAGTGACTGTTTGAAGTTACAATGGCACTGAAAAAAGTGCCCCCCAAGGCACAGCCGAGCAAGACACCTGCCTGCTCACCCGGTGGCGCTCTTGGTAGCGGGGGTGGGGTGGGGGGGTGTTTGGTTTTTATTACCCCCGTCTGCTGGGTGGTTGCAGCAGGTTTTGGTCACTTCACATGATCCTGGGACACTATGACCATAAATATGAATCAGTTGCCAGACATCTGAATGTAAATCACAAGACCCTGGAAATGCTGCAATATTCCAGCTGATTGGCTCTTCTTCTGGGATCAGCAGAAGCGTCAGGATCAGTGCTGCTTTTCAGCTGACTGATGCTTCTTCAGGGCTCAGCAGAAGCATCAGGATCAGCACTGAGCTCCAGCTGGAGCCTGGCTCTGATCCTGGCGCTTCCACTAGCCCTGACAGCACCGAAGAAGTGCTGATCAGCTGGAAAGCGGCACTGATCCTGGCGCTTCCGCTGAGCCCTGACAGCCCTGCAGCTCCAGCCATCTCTCACTCAGGCCTGTGCGGTGCTGCCACCAGTTCAGCTCATTCCCCTCCTCCGCTACCACTCTTCTAGGATGGTCGTGTACCACCTGCTAGGTGCCAATGTACCACAGGTGGTACCCATACCACTGGTTGTCCTGGATTAGGATATAGTTTTCTTACCTCAGCTGCAGCACCGCTGAAAGTCACTTGGGTTTCCCAGTGTTTTACAAATCCTTCCAGCCAGGACAGCATTATACAGTAGGCCGGCCCAGGATCCCTGCTCTTTGTTTTCATTCTTTTTTTCAGCCTGACAAACTTGTCTCGCAGTTACTTCCACTTTTCTCTGCATCGGTCTGGCTCTTCCTCCAAAGTTCTTCCAATTTCCCGCCACGAATGAGCTGTCACTTCGTGGTTTTTGTAGTCTTTATCCATCACGTCGTATAAATGTTGGTCTCTCCTCCAGCTGCTCCATTTTGTCATTTGCCTATGAGATTCTCAGTCATCCAGGTACGGGTGTTGCAAAGGTGCTTTTTTTCAGGAGGCAACTAGACTCTCTTCGACTCTCTACAGGAATGCAAACAACCATCTGTCTGCAAGCAATATAAATCCTTCCACTCCCCACCATCTAGTGAGAGCTGAAGAAGCTTCTTGGATGAAAAGCGAAACGTCTTCAAAAGAAACTCAAGAAAGTCCAGTTGCCTCCTGAAAAAAAAAAACACCTTTGGAATGTGCTTTGCCTTCCTCCCACCTCCCAAAAGGTGATCCAATCAGCACTCAAGATGCACATCCCTACCTACACAACTGTCTGCAACCACCTGCAACCCATCAACCCCGTCAGAGCGTGGGTATGCGGTAACACCGATGTGCAAGTGCAGACAAATCTAAATCAAGCTGTTAAAAACAAGGAGAGAAGCCACCAGGCATTAAGGAGAAACTTCTGAACAATGAGAACAATTAACCAGTGACACAGCTTCGCCTTCAGAAGTTGCAGGTGCTTCCATCACTGGAAGCTTTTAAGAAGAGACTGGATAGCCCATTGTCTGGAATGGTATAAGTAAGGTCTCCTGCTTGAGCAGGAGGTTGGACTACATGACCTCCATGGACCTTTCCAGCTCTATTCTGAGAAGCCACTTCAGAGGCTTCTCCCATCAGTGACACATTCCTAGCACAGATCTGGAGGTCTGTCCCACGGGGATAGATATACAGAGCGGCACACAGTCCCAACTTCCGGAACCGATAAAGAAAACGTGAACATTGGACAGGATTGTCCTTCCAGACACAGCAGCCTTTCTTCTTTTGCGCCTGCGTGGCAAATTCCAGCCCTTCTGACCCGGAAGCAGTCAGCCAGATGCCCCTTTCTGTCTATTTTCATATCTCTACGTTGCTGTAGAAACTTCCGGTCGGTCCTTCATTTTTTTCCCCTTGCCTTGCGCGCGGGGGGGGGAGGGAACTGACCAGCGAGATGCTACGAACGGGACAGCGGCTTCCCCCGGAAGGCTGGCGGCGCTTCTGCGCAGGCGCGGCGCCGGAGCTCTAAGTGACTTGCCGTCTCTCTCCCCCCCCCGCATTTCGCGAGTTGGGCGGTCCCGCCGGCGGGCTCCCTCTGGGGCGGTGGGCCGCACCATGGCTTCGGCGGGGGTGGAGAAGCGGAAGCGGGTGAACCTGAGCGTGAAGCAGAAGCTGGAGCTGATCGAGAAGCTGGAGTCGGGCTGGTCGGTGGCGCGGGTGTGCGAGGAGTACGGCGTGAAGAAGCAGACCGTGTCGGATATCCGCAAAGCCAAGGAGAAGCTGAAGAAGTTCGTGCTGATGTGCGACGTCGACTCGACCAGCACGGCGGCCGAGATCGGGGCCAGGAAGCACATGAAGATGTCGCAGGAGGCCTCGCTGGAGGAGGCGGTGCTGCGCTGGTACGTGGAGCGGCGCGCCGAGGGAGCCAAGGTCCGCCGGGTGGACCTGAAGGCGGCCGCCAACGCCATCGCCGCCGACATGAAGCTCGGCTTCAAGGCCAGCGACGGCTGGATCTGGCGCTTCTACAAGCGCCACGGCATCGACCACAAGCGCGCCGGCGGGGAGGCTGCCGCCGAGGAGAGGGCGCCGCTGGGCAGCGGCTTCTACAAGCGCTACCTCATGTCGCAGATCAGGTATCGGGACGGCGGCCGGGCTTACAAAAAAAAAAAAAGACCCCGAAAGGGGTAGGCAACCTCGGCTCTTTTATGACTCGTGGACTTCAACTCCCAGAATTCCTCAGCCAGCGTGCCTGGCTGAGGAATTCTGGGAGTTGAAGTCCACCAGTCACAAAAGGGCCAAGTTTGAAGATCCCTGGGGTAGTTGCTCATCTATGAGGCCAGGGCTTTTCAACCTTTTCACCCATTGTACCACTTTTAGGATATGGCAATATCCGAGTACCGCCAGTCGCCTAGCGAGGTGTCAAAAACTTGATGACAAAAAAAAAGGAAAAAAGTGATAAAGTACAGGTAGTCCTCGACTTACAACAGTTTGCTTAGTGACTGTTCGAAGTTACAATGGCACTGAAAAAAGTGCCCCCCCCCAAGGCACAGCCGAGCAAGACACCTGCCTGCGGCGCTCTTCCTCCTGTCCGAGGTTTTCATTGTTGTGAGGCATTTATGTTGAGGATTGGCAGAGGGGGTGGGGTGGGGGGGTGTTTGGTTTTTATTTCCCCCCCGTCTGCTGGGCGGTTGCAGCAGGTTTTGGTCACTTCACATGACCCTGGGACACTGCGACCGTCATAAATATGAATCAGTTGCCAAGCATCTGAATGTAAATCACAAGACCCTGGAGATGCTGCAACATTCCAGCTGATTGGCGCTTCTTCTGGGCTCAGCAGAAGCACAAGGATCAGCGCTGAGCTCCAGCTGGAGCCTGGCACTGATCCTGGCGCTTCCACTGAGCCCTGACAGCCTCAAAGAAACGCTGAGCCCTGACAGCCCTGCAGCTTCAGCCATCTCTCGCTCAGGCTTGTGCGGTGCTGCCACTGGTTCAGCTCATTCCCCTCCCCCACTACCACTTTTCTAATATGGTCGCGTACCACCTGCCATGTGCCAATGTACCATAGGTGGTACCCGTACCACTGGTTGAAAGGCTGCTGAAAGTGGTAGGTTCCTATACTGAGAATGGCTTGGATTAGATCAGAGGTTTGGGGAATGATGGCCCTTTTATGACTCGTGGACTTCAACTCCCAGAATTCCTGAGCCAGCCATGCTGAGGGGAAAGGGAGAGGTTTCCAAGCTGAGCCATGCTGGCTCAGGAATTCTGGGAGTTGAAGTCCACGAGTCATAAAAGAGCCAAGGTTGCCTACCCCTGCCACAAACCTTTGCAACTGATGAAGGAGAGTAGGATGGTTGTGTGTGCACATTTCCAGGGCTGAGGCTCAAGCTGCAGACGTCCTTCTGCAGGGGCTAAATCACTTTGCCAGCTTAACTAGAGATAGTCCTCGACTTACAACAGTTCGTTTAGTGACCGTTCAAAGTTACAACAGCATTGGGGAAAAAAAGCGACTTACCAACCTTTGCAGCATCCCCATGGTCACGTGATCAAAATTCAGCTACATGGCCATTGACTCCTAGTTAGGACAGTCACGGGGGGGGGTGTCCCAAGGTCATGTGATCACTTTTTGCGACCTTTCTGACAGGCAAAGACCATGGGGAAGCCGGATTCACTTAACGACTTCATGGCTAATTTAATAACTGTGGTGATTCATTTAAGAACTGTGACAAGAAAGGTAGGGCAAAATAGGGCAAAACTCGCTTAACAAATGTCTCACTTAACAAGGGAAATTGTGGGCTCAATTGTGGGTCATAAGTACAGGATTACCTGTATGGCCCTTTTATGATTTGTGGACTTTAACCCTCCCCATAGAGCAAAGGTGGGGAACGATGGCCTCTTTATGACTTGTGGACTTTAATTCCCAGAATTCCTGAACTAGCCACACTGAGGGGAAAGGGAGAGGTTTCCAAGCTGAGCCATGCTGGCTCAGGAATTCTGGGAGTTGAAGTCCACGAGTCATAAAAGGGCCATCGTTCCCCCAAACTCCTGACCTAATCCAAGCCATTCTCAGTATAGGAACCTACCACTTTCAGCAGCCTAATGGATGAGCAACTACCCCAGGGATCTTCAAACTTGGCCCTTTTGTGACTTGTGGACTTCACCTCCCAGAATTCCTCAGCCAGGCATTCTGGCTGAGGAATTCTGGGAGTTGAAGCCCACAAGTCATAAAAGGGCCAAGTTTGAAGACCCCCTGGCCTACCCCATTTAAACACTGCTTCCCCATTGTTTATGAGGCGGTTTTTATGTCTAAGAAATTCTTCCTTACCACAGAGCCATTGTATGTTCATAGAACCATGGAAAGGACCTGGAAGGTCATCTAGTCTAGCCCCCTACCCAGCACAGAAACACACTACTAGATCATCCCCCATAAAGTTCCCTCAAACTCAGGAGACTTCACTGCTCAATGAATAGCACTCTGTTGTTGAGCTCTTATCATTGATCCTCCCAAATTTTTTGAAGGAAAATATGGGAAACATCAGTGTGGAAGAAGAAAGGCAACTGAGGCAGGGGGTGAGTGGCTCCTGGCCAGTGCTAGTAGCGGTAGTCCTCAACATACCACTGTTCATTTAGTGACCATTCAAAGTTACAACAGCACTGGAAAAAAGCGACTTATGGCCATTTTTCACAGTTACAACCTTTGTAGCATTCCCCGCGATTGTGCGATCAAAACTTCTTCTTTTTTCTTCAAACTAACATTAGGTTCCTAAAGTTCGGTCTGCTAAATCTGATCTTTGAAAATTCTAGATCCAAGAGCAAAGAGGCGGCAGAGAAAGCAACGAAAGAGAAGAAAAGTGCCGACCCCCAGTGGAAAGGAGGAGCAGGAAATCTGGCCAATCCCGTTCAGCCCCTGTGTATTTCAGAGCCAAAATCGGAAGAGACGGATCTCGGAAAACCTCCCTGTGAAATTCAGCCTCCGTCGGTTTCCGAGGAGCCGGGGTGGGGGGCGTCGCAAGCAAGCAAAGGAGAGCCGTTCCACGGGATGGAAGAACGCTGGGAAGCCCAGTGGCAGCAGTTCCTCAAGACCCTGCAGCCCGCCCACAAAGGAGGGGACAACCCCGGTTTTTCAGAGCCTTCCCCTTGGGAAGACACCAAGGCCTTTCTAGCGTCCTTTGAGCAGGTGGCCCAGGCCTGCCAGTGGCCCTCAGAACAGTGGGTGGCCCATCTTCTGCCAGCACTGAGTGGAGAAGCCAAAGAGGCCTTCCGAAGCCTGGAAGCCAGAGATCGGGAGGACTATGAGAAAGTGAAGGGCGCCATCTTGCGAGGGGAAGCCTTGAAAATGGAGAGGCAGCGCCAACATTTTAGGCAGTTCTGCTGCCAGGAGGTGGGAGACCCCCGGAGGATCCACAGCCAGCTCCAGGAGCTTTGTCTCCGGTGGCTGAAGCCGGAGAGACACACCAAGGAGCAGATCCTGGAGCTGCTGATCCTGGAGCAGTTCCTAGCCAGCCTCCCATCGGACCTCCAGAGCTGGATCCGGGCAGGAGGACCGGACACCTGTTCCCAGGCGGTGGCCCTGATGGAGGAGTTCCTGAGGAGCCAGCAGAATGTCAAATCAGAGTCGTATGAGGTATGCCTTGGAGATCACAATCCCAGCATTTATTGTTACTGAATGTGGATTAGGTTGTTAGTTGTTGTTGCTAGTTGCGAAGTCGTGTCCTACCCATTGCGACCCCATGGACAATGTTCCTCCAGGTCTTCCTGTCCTCTACCATCTTCTGGAGTCCATTTAAGCTCACACCTACTGCTTCAGGGACTCCATCCAGCCACCTCATTCTCTGTTGTCCCCTTCTTCTATTGCCCTCAATCTTTCCCAGCATTAGGCTCTTCTCCAGTGAGTCCTTCCTTCTCATTAGGTGGCCAAAGTACTTGAGTTTCAACTTCAGGATCTGGCCTTCTCAAGAACAGTCGGGGTTGATCTCCTCCAAGACTGACCGGTTTGATCGCCTTGCAGTCCAGGGGACTCGCAGGAGTCTTCTCTAGCACCATAGTTCAAAGGCCCCAATTCTTTGGCGCTCAGCCTTTCTTATGGTCCAACTTTCACAGCCATACATTGCAAGTGGGAAAACCATGGCCTTGACTTTACACACTTTGGTTGGCAGGGTGATGTCTCTGCTTTTTAGTATGCTGTCTAGATTTGCCATAGCTTTCCTCCCCAGGAGCAAGCGTCTTTTAATTTCTTGGCTGCAGTCTCCATCTGCGGTGATCTTGGAGCCCAGGAAGATAAAATCTGTCACTACCTCCATTTCTTCCCCATCTATTTGCCAGGAATTGAGAGGGCCGGATGCCATGATCTTGATTTTCTTAATGTTGAGTTTCAAGCCAACTTTTGCACTCTCCTTCACCCACATCAAGAGGTTCTTTAGTTCAATTATTCACTTGAAAATTAGCTGCATTTGTAATATAACAAGAGAGTCAGAGTGAAGCATTTTGAATCAGCTGAATTTCGTTCTTTGTAAAAGCATCCACAGAGTGTGAGGGAGTTAGGCGGTTTTAAGAATTTGACGACTAAAATAAGTATGGCTAGTCCTCAACGTAGGACCACAACTGAGCCCAAAATTTCTGTTGCTAACGTGACAGTTGTTGGGCAACTTTTGTTGCATTTTACGACTTTTTTTTTTTAACCACAGTTGCGAATCACCGCAGTTGTTAAGTCAGTAACACGGCTGTAAAGTGAACCCGGCGTCCCCCTTTGACTTTGCTTGTCGGAAGGACGTAAAAAAGGGATCACGTGACTCATGAGACTCTACAACCGTCGTAAATGCAGGCGAGTTAACAAGCATCTGAATTACAATCACATGACCATGGGGACGCCGCAACCCTTGTAAGTGTGAAAAAAACAGTCACAAGTCACTTTCTCCAGTGCCGTCGTAGCTTCGAACAGTCACTAAATGAAAGATTGTAAGTCCAGGACAGGGGTAGGCAATCTCTGCTCTTTTATGACTTGTGGACTTCAACTCCCAGAATTCCTGAGCCAGCATGGCTCAGCTTGGAAACCTTTCCATTTCGTGCTTCTAGGAGCACGAAGCCGAAAACACCAGCCTGAAGATGATGAATGGGACTTCATCGAAACGTCGCCAAGACATTTCCAATTTTACATGGGAGGAAACCCGAATAACTAAAGACCTATATACAAACACCCGCGAAAACCTCAGAAAATAAATATATGCACACAGCCCAGGCTCGAATCTCAAGGGTAAGTTTGGCTGAAGAGAGTTAAGAAACTCGAAATAGCTATCCCATTCTCTCCTGAAAAGGAGAGGCCAATTCTTAAATATCTCCATTATATATCTGTAACTTTAGATTTTGCTGACAAAGAGTTAGAGGGAGACTAGTATAGCTATTTCGAGCTATTTAGCTCTCATCAGCTAGCCATACCTTTCTGAGATCCGAACCTGGGCAGCTTGCATGTTAGGCAGCTATATTAACCTCTAGGCCACAGGTTCTCCTCACTTCTGTCAGCTGAAGCCAGGGAGGATATGTAGTAAGTGTTTTACGGTGAAACCGTTCACCTGGTCTACTGTTATGATTGCTTTTGCCTTTCAGCCCCAATCTAGGAGCATATGGCTAGCTGATGAGTGTTAAATAGCTCAAAATAGCTATACTAGTCTCCTTTTAACTAATAACATATATATATATATATATATATATATATATATATATATATATATATATATATATAGATAGATAGATAGATATAGATATAGATATAGATATAGATGTGTGTGTGTGTGTGTGTGTGTGTGTGTGTGTGTGTGTGTGTCCTTAATATTAAGAATGTAAATGCTGGGCATATCAATAAAAATATAAGAAAAATGAACACTAGGATAAAAATAAACAGGACCGTTTAATATAAACAAGCCTGTGAGTAAAAAAGTTACTTACTGAGCTTTCATCAGCCAAACTACTGACGTCATCAGAGTTAGAATGCTAGGTGATTAGGGAGCTTGCCTATCTACAGCTGCCTGTCTCTGTGCCTGGCTCCTCGAACGCATCATCAGCCCATTAGCTATGTTATTCTGCAATGTGTTAAATTGATTCTCATCCGGCAGCCTGTTGGTGGATCTGATGATTGCAGCTTCCTCTCCCTGATCCTGCAAAGAACAACTATTGAGATGTTCCTGCTTCATACTCTCCCTTCCTTTTTTGTCTCTCCTTCCAAGCCGTTTGTCATCTCCTCCCATAGCAGCTCTGGGGAAGCTGTGATCCCCAGGGAGGACAGCGAACTGGCAAAAGAGGAGGGGGGGCCGGGTGACACCACAACGAGATAGCAACTGGCAGGACTGGAGTGACAGGGCTGCAGGTGAGGCGGCAAGAGCCTCACCTTTTCTGGGGGAAAGAAGGAGAAAGGGGGAGCGGCAGCCCTAGAAGTTAGTGGTGCAATAACAAACAGTGGGGGGTGTGCACAAGGGAGGGGATTGAGAAAAGAAAGTGGATAAGGGAACTGCGGCTTTAAAAACCATCTGTCAGAATCCAATTATATTTCATCTCTAATTATCAACTATAAAAACCCCATTTCTGGCTTCTCGGGATTCTGCCATACGAGGAAGGGAAGGGGGTGAACAAAGGGGCTTTATGGCCCTCACTTCCTTCAGTACACTTCAAAGGAACTGAATGTGGATAGCACCAAAAGGCCTAATCATAACAAAGGGGGCTATTACCTTTCATGTAGTTTTCTTTGAAGTCTCCATCCAGCCTTGGGTGGGGCTACTGGGAAACCCCTTAAAACCTTGAATGGGAGAGCTTGGACCCCAAGTCCTGTCTAGAACGCCTGCAACCATTTTCTCTTAATAAAGGATGCCTGTTGGAAGAATTATTCCAAGAGTTCTGTCTTCTTAAAATGCAAAGTGGGGTGGGTCCTTACACCTGCCTTCCAAGAATGAAACAATCAGAGATATCAGATGGACCGATGACTAGGTCCAGGAGCCGTGCGCAAAGTCGGCCGGCGTTATAAAAAGGGAACTCCCGTTGACTTGTTTTTATGCTCTGACGATATTGGCAGTGCTGGCCGACGAATTTTATTAAAATCAGCATTTTATTAAAATCCAGTCGCTGAATGAACGGTTGTATGTCAAGGGCTACCTGTGTCTTCCTAAGTCAGATTTTGGGCTCTTGCAGGGCCCAGGGCTGATCCAGGTGGCGGCTGGGAGTTTCCCCACCTCTGAGCAGATGCCATTCATCCCCGCAGAGAGAGAGTTCGATTGCAAGATCAAGCAAGAGGAGGAGGAGGACGGGGGCAATTCAGAAGGTAAGGCAAATGCATTAGACCGGCACACACACACACAGACACAACTCAGATCGCTTGCCAGGCTATACTTCTTTATCGAAAGAAGTTCTAAACCTCTGTTTATTTTAGGGATCAACACAGATTAGTGACGGAACCAAAAGCAGTGTGAAAAAAATGGTCCTAGGTCACTATTTTCGGGGCTGTTGTAACTTTGGACGGTCACTAAACGAAGTGTTGTAAGTCAAGGACCACGCCGTACCTTATTTTCCATAAAAGTATCACTTCAGATAGCGCAACTTGGAGTAACGTCAGCATTTTGTGAGGTTCGTGAACAGCACTAATCGGGACCTACCTGTATCGTGGAGCAGTAGCCCCTAACCTTTTGGGCACCAGGGACCGGTTCCGTGGAGAAATGTTTTTCCGCGGACCGGAGGGGGGCGTGGTTTCGTGTGCTGCCTGCATCCCGCGCTTGTTTGTTTGGCCTGGTTTCTGGCATGCCATGGACCAGGGTTTGGGGACCCCTGTTGTCGAGAACCACACAGATGCCCTTGGAAGAGGAAGGTAGCCGTTCCCAAAACATGATTTTTTCAGTGCAGAGAAGAGCAACAAAGATGATTAGGGGACTGGAGGCTGAAACATATAAGGAACGGTTGCTGGAATTTAATATGTCTAGTTTAATGAAGAGAAGGACGAGGGAGGACATGATAGCAGTCTTCCAGTATCTCAGGGGCTGCAACAAAGAAGAGGGAGTCAAGCTATTTTCCAAAGTGCCTGAAGGCAGGACAAGAAGCAACAGATGGAAACCAACCGAGGAGAGAAGCAACCTAGAACTAAGGAGAAGCTTCCTGACAGTTAGAACAATTAACCAGTGTAACTACCTGCCTCCAGAAGATGTGAATGCTTCATAAGATTTTAAAAAGAGATTGGACAGCCATTTGTATTTAGACCAGGGGTAGGCAACCTCGGCTCTTTTATGACTCGTGGACTTCAATTCCCAGAATTCCTGAGCCAGCCATGGCTCAGCTTGGAAACCTCTCCCTTCCCCCTCAACATGGCTGGCTCAGGAATTCTGGGAGTTGAAGTCCACGAGTCATAAAAGAGCCAAGTCTGCCTACCCCTGGTATAGGGTTTCCTGCCTGAGCAGGGGGTTGGACTAGAAGACCTCCAATGTCCCTTCCAACTCTGCTATTCTGTTCTATTTAAGCCCAAGGAGAGGAAAGAATATTAGAAAGAAACTTAAGCTTTGCCTTGCCTCTACTTAGCAGTGTTTCTCAACCTTGGCCACTTTAAAAGAGCCCTGGTGGTGCAGTGGTTAAGGTGCAGTATTGCAGGCAAACTCTGCCCACAGTCTCAAGTTCGATCCTGACTGGGCTCAGGGTTGTCTGAGCTTTCCATCCTTCCAAGGTCGGTAAAATGAGGACCCAGATTGTTGGGGGCAAATATGCAAATAATGCTTTGTCATTGTAAACCTCCCAGAGAGTGCTGCAAAGCGCTATAGAGCGGTATATAAGCCTAAATGCTATTGCTATTAAAGTATGTGGATTTCAGCTCCCAGAATAACCCAGCCAGCATAGAAAACCCCCCACTTTTTAGAATAAGGAGAGGAAACACTGTGTGGCTCTCTACTTCTATTATTGTAGTCTAGATCAGCAAAGATAAATCCCAGCATTTCTTGTGGAGTCTGCTTCCTGATCTGGCCTACCTGCAAGGGCTGACGTATAGTACAGTAGTGGCCAAAATTGTGGAAACCTTTTGGGAAAAGTGCATTTTTGAGGTTTGATGGCTAATAACGCCACTTTTTGGGGAGAGTAGTACCATAAAATTATATATCAATGGAAAGATAATTTAATCAAGAATGTAATGCAACATAGTTTGTTCAATTATCTGTACTGTATCCTACGAAAAGCTATAGCCAAATAACCAGAAAAAGGAAGCACAACTTGCTTAGGTTGATATCAGGTAGCTTTCCTTCATCTGATTGTAGCCAATGAGCATGAGTGTTTAGAGCAGTGGTTCTCAACCTCTGGGTCGGGACCCCATTTGGGGTCGAACGACCATTTCACAGGGGTCGCCAAACAACGCAGTCCGCCATTTTTTCCCCCTTTTCCTTAGCTGTGCTACTCCCTTTTATTCTATTGGCTTTTGAAAGCCAATAGAATAGACTCTCTTGAATAGATTCTAATTCTATTGGCTTTCAAAAGCCAATAGGAATTGTCCAGGCTGTCTCTGCCCTGCTGAGCCCGCCAAAAGTCCCATTCTGCAAACGGTGCTGCACCAGTTGAGTAGTCCTCGACTTACGACCGGTTAAGTAGTCCTCGACTTACGACCGGTTGGGGGTCGCGGCATTAAAAAGGTTGAGAACCACTGGTTTAGAGAGCCAATCAGGCGTCTGTCATGGTTCCGAAGGAAGAAGCTCTTCAAAGAACTTTGAGGCATTGTTTACCTTAAAGAATCTTTAATTTGCAACATAGCTTCGGCACGTACACAGAGAAGCCAAAATCTGGAATTCTCCTCCCCCAATACACAGTATCTAAGGATAACTCACTCCTTCGTTTAACAGTCTTTAATCACATTCTCCAATTGGTTTGAAGTATGAACTTTCCCTCCCGTTCCATAACCCACCAGCACTTATCTCCTCTTATTACAACTAGCCTTGAAGAATACACTACTGAAATATTGTTATGGCTAAAAGTAATACACAGGTTAAATAGAAAATGTCTGCATCTTCATATATTGTCAAGCAAGAACATCCGACGTTAGCAGCATTGACAGCGTCATCTTGTTTTGGCAATGAGCCAGTCAGATCACAGTAGGATTCAGTTACTGATGTCCTGTATTGAAACTAAGAGGAGGACATTTGTCAGTGTGTTATGTGATCGCTAGCAAGTTGGTTGGGTTTTTTTGTGTGTTCTTTCCTTTTAGTGAGCTTGTAAAACGTAATAAAATTAAAGCAACGGTGCAAAAGAGTTGACTGGTCGCCCAGAAAGCGATGTAAAATAGTATTACGAAGTAAACAAGGCTACAGTTATAAAGAAAATAGAAGAAAAATTGGTGGAAACTTAACCAAAGGTGGCTGTCAACGCTGCAAATATTGTATATTCTTGCTTTTGACAATATGTAGAATTGTCTGGTAATTATGGGGTTAATACAGAGCAGAAGGGGGGTTGGGGGTAAAGCCTGGGGAAAGAAAGAGGAAGAAAACATTTGACCTTCACACTAATTGGATAATGTGAGATATGACTGGCTAATTTAGGGAGGGAACATGCTGATAATTTAACTGCTCAGAGGAAGAGAACTTAGATCCTAGCATCCCTCCCTTGTGCCTGTGCCAACATTTTGTAACAATAAAAGAGTTTTAGGAAAATAAATGCCTGGAAGTTCTTTGGAATGTTTCATTAGCCGGAACCACAACAGTGGCATTTCTACTGAACACTTTTGCCAAAAGGTTTCCACAGTTTTGGCCACTGCTGCAAATCCAACTGACCCACTGCCTGGGGAACAGTGGCTGTTACCTGGTCTAGAAATGCAATGAACAGTGTGGGAAACGAATCAATAAATAGCATTTCTCAAAGCTTAAGAGGCTGAGCATCGGTCCAGCAGGAGGCAGCAACTTAGCTCACGAGGGACCCAGATTGTTGTTGATCTGAAAATCAGGCCCTTGGCTCTTCGAGTGACTTCTTTTTCCCTTCTCTTCCAGGCGCTGATGAATGGATCACCGAGATGAAAGAGGGGGATTCCCAGGGGGAGGACGTCGAGTCCATTAAACTCCAGGGGACTCCTTGGAACAGTCTCCCCAAAGCCCAGGTGGGCAGAGACACCTCGGTGAGCCCCGATGCTGTTTTGAAGACGAAGGCAGAAGATGGCTCAAGTCAGCCCACGGTTGAAATCTTCCCTCTGGCAGGAGAAGCGAGAAACCTCAGCCCACCGCTGGTCAAGAAACGGTACCGGATCCGGGGCAAGAAGACCTGTTCCGTCTGCAGCAAGACCTTCAGCCGGAGCACCGTGCTGGCCGCGCACCAGCGGACCCACACGGGCGAGAAGCCGTTTGCCTGCCAGAGCTGCGGGAAGTGCTTCAGCTTCAAATCGGCCCTGGTTGTGCACCAGAGGACCCACACGGGCGAGAGGCCCTATTCGTGCGATCGGTGCGGGAAGAGCTTCACCGTCAGCTGGGTCCTCACCAGGCACTACCGAGTCCACGCTAAAAAGGAGCAGCTGGGCTGCTTGGAGTGCGGGAAGAGCTTCGCCCAGAAGTCTCAGCTGCTCAACCACCAGAAAGTCCACGTCGGGGAGAAGCCCTTCCGGTGGGCCCAGCCCGGGGAAGCCTTTGGCGGTCGCGCTTTGACCGTTAAGAGGCAGGGAGGTTCCTGCTCCGGGGAAGCGAAACCCTTCGGATGCCCGGATTGTGAGAAGTCCTTCAACACGTCCTCCCAGTTGGACAGGCACCACCGGGTGCACACGGGGGAGAGGCCCTTCACGTGCTCTGAGTGCGGGAAGAGCTTCAGGCAGTGGCAGATTCTGATGGTGCACAAGAGGATTCACACGGGCGAGAAGCCCTTTAAGTGTGCCACCTGCGGGAAGAGCTTTTCGAACCAGGCCAGCCACATCCGGCACCGAAAAGTCCACACGGGGGAGAGGCCGCACCTCTGCGCCATCTGCGGAAAACGGTTCCCCCATCACGCGGTTCTCGCGAAGCACCAGAAAATCCACAGCCGGGAAGCCCTAAACAGTCACAAGGTGGCGGAGGAGGAGGAGGAGGAGGAACCAGCAAAAGAAATTTCGTAAAGGGAGAATGGAGTCCTCTGATTTGGGAAGTGGGACCATAGGCATCCTTTCCTAACCCTGTGGCCTCCAGATGTGTGGAACCACTGGTCTCTTTGGGTGGAAGTGTCAGGAATGGTACTTGATCTCTGAAAATAACTAGGTTCAGGAAGGTTGGCTTTGTAAATCTGCAGGCCCTTGAGAAGCACTTGGTGGGCTCCACTTCTTGACATCTGTCCAGCACTTGTGTAGGAGAAGCAGCCATCGCCTTGGCTGGGACGTTCCTGATGTTTGTATCTGGGATTTTAAGTTGGCTGGGTTCTCGGCCGGGTGACGAGGGATTATTGAATGTCTGTGAAGTTGATAGTCTCAGGGGTTTAGGATCTTTCACCTATTCACCGTAGCAACTCAGCGAGGCCGTTGATGGAAGATAGGGAGTCTGTGTAAAGGTGGCGTTTTTGTTGCCTAACGTGCTGTTTCTCAACCTTGGCAAAATGGGGGATTCTGGGAGTTGAAGTCCACCAAACTGGCCACGCTGGCCTCACAACGTGGTTGGGCACAAAATTAGAAAGATGCCCTTTCTTCCCCCCCCCCTTTTTTTTAGTTGAAACAAACATGGTACATTTTGGAAGTTTGGCTGAACCGTTTTGGATAATCTGCAATTGGAGGGGGAAAAAAACCTGACCTTTAGAACTGGGCCTGTTCTGGTTTTGACTGAGGTAAAATCCAGAGGCGTTTTATGGGGTGAGTAGGACAGCACTCAAGCCCTACTCAGCTCTCTTCTTCCCACTTATGGGGTGTGTGCCATTAACTTCCTTCCCAAATCATAGCTGATAGGTAAAGTGTTTGGAAGATGGGGGGGGGGTGAGTCTGTAGGATGTTACACAACCCAGGGCCTTGGCACTGGCAGTTATTCACCCTGCCTTTCATTTTTTCTTCTCAGTGGCCATCACCACAACCAACATACTTGGGTTTTCCCCATAGTCCCTGCCAACATCTCTCTCTCTCTAGAATGTACCTTTTGTCAGCCTGGACCCAGATCTGAAATCATGTAGGAAAAAGTCATGTGCAGGATTATTTGTGCACCCCTAATAGCAAATCTTGGGCTATTTCAGAAAGCTGAGAGTGATTAGATCTTTTTTTAGTACTTGGATGGGAGATCACAAGGAAATCTCAGGGCTGCAGGCCATACAGGCATCTTAAAAAAAAATAAATAAATCCTACAAGGCAGTAGTAGTAAATGAGGCAGATACTGGTGCCAAGCAAGAAAAATGGACACGTGTATGACATCAACAAGAGCTGAGCTCAACTTTATGTTTGTATGGTCCAATAGTATATAGTATAGGAATGGGAGCAAATGGGAGGAAAAAAAAATAAGAAAATCGTTTTTTTTTTTTTTTTCAATTTCATTGTGTTTTTCAGTTCATTTTGCTTCAGTGGAGTTTCTTACGCTGAAGGCTGTTGTCGCTTGTTCCCTCAAAATTACCACATTGAGAGGCTAATGTGGGTCATAGAAACTAATTAAAAGGAAATTAGAAGTATTGTAAGTCTGACTGTAAAGTTTCTGTTCTTCCCTTATTGTTACTTTTCCCTTTTCAGTCCTGGCTCACTATGGCTTCAGAGACTCTCCCAGATAAGCTGAAGTCCTCCATTGACTGGAATCACTCATTCAATTGTTGACCAATTTTTCAGAGATTATAGTGTTCCCGCAGAACAATGATACGTTGGGATCTTATAGAAGCAGAATAAAAAGGACATTGGAGGCCAAGGCCCTCTATGGCAGGGGTGGGGAACAATGGCCCTTTTATGACCCTTGGACTTCAACTCCCAGAATTCCTGAGCCAGGAATCCTGGGAATTGAAGTCCACATGTCATAAAGGGGCCATCAGTTCACCACCACTGTTCTACGGCGTGGGAGAATTTAAAGCAGGGATCTTCAAACCTGGCCCTTTTATGACTTGTGGACTTCAACTCCCAGAATTCCTCAGCAAGCGTGCCTGGCTGAGGAATTCTGGCAGTTGAAGCCCATAAGTCATAAAAGGGCCAAGTTTGAAGACCCCCCTGGTTTAAAGATTTAACAATAATAATAAAGATGGAAGGGACCTTGGAGGTCATCTAGTCCAACCCCCTGCTCAGGCAGGAAACCGTATACCATTTCAGACAAATGGCTGTCCAGTCTCTTCTTCAGAACTTCCAGTGTTGGAGCACCTACCGCTTCTGGAGGCAGGTTGTTCCACTGGTTAATTGTTCTCACTGTCAGGAAATTTCTCCTTAGTTCTAGGTTGCTTCTCTCCTTGATTAGCTTCCATCCGTTGCTTCTTGTCCTGCCTTTAGGCGCTTTGGAGAATAGCTTGACTCCCTCTTCTTTGTGGCAGCCCCTGAGATATTGGAACGCCGCTGTCATGTCACCCCTCGTCCTTCTCTTCATTAAACTAGACATACCCAATTCCAGCAACCATTCCTTATGCACATCTGCTCGCAATATAGACACTTCTGGACTGAAACACAGATAGTTCTTAACTTATGATCACTTGCTTTGCGACTGTTCAAAGCTATGATGGACTTTACAACCCAGATTCGAAGTTATGATGATTGGGGGGAGGGGGAGCATGGTTTGGGCACTCAGCAACCAGGCTGCAAGTATGCCGTTTGCAGCCTCCCACCGTCGTGTTTTATGACAGTGTTGAAAACTAGCCTTTACGTGCAGTCCATAGAGAACTGTTAATTTGCTTAATGGCCATTGCCAAAAAGTACTTAAAATCAAGTTGGTCACATGAATAATTCTGCTTTACGGCTATGAGAAGTTATAACTGGCCATCAACACCCTGAGTAACAGTTAAGAGCCACACACAACTGGGCACCCTATAAATCAGTGGTTCTCAACCTGTGGGTCGGGACCCCATTTGGGGTCGAACAACCATTTCACGGGGGTCACCAAACAACGCAGTCCGCCATTTTTTCCCCTTTTCCTTAGCTGTGCTACTCCATTTTATTCTATTGGCTTTTGAAAGCCAATAGAATAGACTCTCTTGAATAGAGTCTAATTCTATTGGCTTTCAAAAGCCAATAGGAATTGTCCAGGCTGTCTGCCCTGCTGAGCCCGCCAAAAGTCCCATTCTGCAAATGGTGCTGCACCAGTTGAGTAGTCCTCGACTTACGACCGGTTGAGTAGTCCTCAACTTATGACCGGTTGGGGGTCACAGCATTAAAAAGGTTGAGAACCACTGCTATAAATATAACCGTAGACTAGCCCACAAACATAAGACACTGGAAAATGGGACGGCCCTACATGCACAAAAGCCATGCCTTACGTTGCACCTTTGCAAGTTGCCCCATCGCATTGACAGGTAGTCCTTGACTTACAACGGTTCGTTTAGTGATCGTTTGAAGTTACAACAGCACTGGGGAAAAAGGGACTCATGACCATTTTCACACTATTGCAGCATGTCACACAATTTACATTCAGATGTTTGTCAACTGGTTCATATCTACGATGGTCGCAGTGTCCCGGGGTCGTGCGACCGATCGTCTTTTGCGATGTTCTGACTTGACAAATGAAGTCGTAAAACGGGACAAAACTCGCTTCATAAATTTCTCACTTAGCAACATCAACCCTGGGCTCAGTTTGTGGTCGTAAGTCGAGGACTACCTGTACTCACAAAGCATTGCTTGCATTCCTGTGAAGAGGATCCATTTCTGGCCACTTTGGCACCTGCCGCTCGCTCCTCTCCGGCAGACAGAACCGCATCGTTGTCATGGCAGCATAAAGTGCCACTGCATCGGGTCAGATCAAGTAGGCTGAATGACTATGGGGACTCTCAGTCATCCAGGTCATGGTTGTCCCAAATATGTTTTTTCACGAGGCAACTGGACTTTCTGGTTTTTCTTTGAAGACGTTTCACTTCTCATCCAAGAAGCTAAAGTGAAAGGCTAGACTGAAAATTAAGGAAATAGAGCAGGGATAGGTAACCTTGGCTCTTTTATGACTGGTGGACTTCAACTCCCAGAATTCCTGAGCCAGCCATGCTGAGGGAAAAGGGAGAGGTTTCCAAGCTGAGCCACGCTAGCTCAGGAATTCTGGGAGTTGAAGTGCACGAGTCATAAAAGAGCCAAGGTCTACCCCTGAAATAGACGATGGGGCCTATCAGAGAGAATATTTAAAAAAGAAACACCTGTTTGAATATGGTTAAAGAAATAGAAAAAATTTGGATCTGAATTGGATTTTAAGAGGGAAGAGCCCCTCAAGTAACATAGTACTTTCTTTTTCTTCTTTTTATTTTATCTCTTGATATGAGTAATATAAAAGAATTAGAATGGCTTATATACAGTAAATGTTTTAGATATTTAAAGGTGATTGACTTTAAGAAAATTACAATGGATTAAAAAAATGTTTTGAATAAGAGTTAAAAAACTAGAGGACTAGATTTATTAAATGGAATATTTAAAGATTAAATATATTTTTAAGTATGGTAAAAAAGAACAAAATTTTTTGGGAAATAAATATGCATTAGCTTATAGGAAATAGAGATTTTAACTAGCATACTATCTTTTTATTTATTTTTATTCTTATTTCTGTTTTTAGTCTTATTTATTCCTTAAGAAAGGTAAAAGTAGTGGGTTGGCTTACATGAGAAAAAAATAGACTTAAATATTTAAATGTAATTAACTTGGAGAAAATCTTAACCAGTAAGAATGTTTTGAACATTGTGGGAAAAACAAATGTAAACAAGAACTGTAAACAGGATCTATGATGAGACAACCAGAATGACTAGCTAGAAAAGAAACATTATATTGATGTGATTATTATCTGTAGAAGTATTAGAAAACTTTTATACTCAATCGCCATTCAGTAAAATAACAAGAATCATATTAACTTAACTTAAGGTTAATTTAAGATTATAGAAATCAACTGCTAGTGAATGTTTCTTAAAGATAAAGCCAGACAACACACACTGTTTACCAAATATTAAGGTGATTATGTTAAAAATTAATAAAACATATTGTTTAAAAAAGAATAGAATAGAATAAAATAAAATAGAATAGAATAGAATAATAGGGATGAAATAGGAATAGAATAGAATAGAATAATAGGGATGAAATAGAAATAGGAATAGAATAGAATAGGGATGAAATAGGAATAGAATAGAACAGAACAGAACAGAACAGAACAGAATAGAACAGAATAGAATAGAATAAGGAAGAGAAGAGAAGAGAAGAGGAATAAGGAATAGAATAGAATAGAATAAGGAATAGAATAGAATAAGGAATAGAATAGAATAAGGAATAGAATAGAATAAGGAATAGAATAGAAAGAATAGAATAGAATAATAGGGATGAAATAGGAATAGAATAGAATAGAATAGAATTTTTTTGTCACTTTAAATGTCTTCAAAAAAAAAAAAAAAAACCCAAGAAAGTCCAGCTGCTTGGTGAAAAAGCCCTTCCGGATAGGCGGCACTGAAAGTTCGCAACCCACGAATCCTTCGCGTCCCCGGCTCTTCGGGTGAAGCGAAGCTGCCGTTGCGGCGCCGTCCGGGAGGGGGCGACCGCGGGAGCGCCGCCGGCTGCAAAGAAGCAGGGGCGGGGACAGGCGGGAGCAGCTGCAGCCGCGCGGCCCGTCGGTCAGCAGGGGAGTCCCCCCCCCACAAGGCGCCCCGGGCTTCCCCGCCCCACCGGGCGGAATCCCAGGCGGAGATCGGCGGCCTCGCTTGCGGTACGGGCTCCTCCTCCGTACTCCGCCAGCGTTGCAGGGGGAGGAGGGGGGGCGGGGGCTTCTTCCAGAATAGCGGGCGCAGCGTTGCGAAAGGGAGGCCTCCGCTCCGTCCCGGGAAAGGCGCGCGCCTGCCCGCCTTCCAGCTTGGTCCCGGAGCCTTGCTGCGTGCGTAGCGTAGCATCGCATTGCATTGCATTGCGTTGCATTGTGTTGCATCGCATCCTTTGCTTTCCTTTCCAGCGCGGTGGGAGTGGGGGGGGGAGGTTCGGCGGGCCGGGGACAACGGGGCTCCGGGGCGAGGAGAAGAAAGGAGCCGATCTCCCTCCTCCTCCGTCCCGGCGGGCGCCGATGCGGGACCGCCGCTGAGCTTTTGCACCCCGAATGTATGTGTGTGTGTGTGTGTGTGTGCTTGTGTGTGCGCACAGGGAGCGCGGTAACTCCCGGCTGGAAGCTCACCTTTTGACTCTTTAGGGGAGAGGAGAAGGGGGCCTGGCCTCTTCCCCAAATAAAGGGGTGGGGGGGGCAGCTAAAGAGATACCTCTTTTTTAGCTAAAGAAATAATTTTATTATTTTTTAGGGGGGTTGAGGATTCCATTTTGCTTGAATATGATGCCCATTTAACAACGACATGTCCCTTTTGATGCACAAAAGGAGGGAGGGGAGAAACCTGTGGGTCTATAAAGTGTCCCTAAGTTGTTATTCTTCACATCTGTGTGGGTTGGGTAGCTTGTGGGCTTTTTTTTTCTAGCTCCCGAGGAGAGAATGACAAATGTTTACTTAGAATTTAAAAAGTGAATCTTGGAGAGCCAATGTCTGTTTTTTTTTTCTTTTATCCTTCTTCAGAGTCTCTAACCTGTTAGGCATTATTTAGCCCAATTGTGCTAAAAGTGATCTAATCGGATAAACACACAACTCTGGCTTTCAGAAAGCAGGCAGGGCGAGAAAGAAGCCTCAGAAAGAACTGGAGGGATCAGAAGAAAGACTCACCTCTCCCATTCAGTCTGCCAAAGCAAGCAACTTTAGGAACCCTCTGCAAAGATCAAAAGAGATCCATTCATTGGGATGGAGGAGAGCTGGGAAGCACAGTGGGAGCCATTTCTTGAGACCCAATCCATCCACGCAGGCAGGAACGTGGAGGTTACTCCTTGGGAAGACCCCAAGGCCTTCCTGGCCTGCTTCAAGCAGGTGGCCACAGCCTGCCGGTGGCCCAGAGAAGAGTGGGTGGCCCATCTCCTGCCAGCCCTTTGTGGAGAAGCTGAAGAGGCCTTTCAGGGCCTGGACACCGTTCATCAAGAGGATTATGAGAGTGTGAAGGCCGCCATCTTGAGGGGAGATGCGATGAAAAGGGAAGGGAAACGTCAGCGTTTCAGACAGTTCTACTGTCAGGAAGTGGAAGACCCACGAAAGGTCCAAAGCCATCTCCAGGAGCTTTGCCACCAGTGGCTGAAGCCGGAGAGACACACCAAGGATCAGATCCTGGAGCTCTTGATCTTGGAGCAGTTCCTGGCCAGTTTACCTCCCAAACTTCAGGACTGGGTTCAGTCAAAGAGGCCGCACACAAGTTCCCAGGCTGTGGCTTTGATGGAGAACTTCCTTAGGAGCCAGCCAGAAGTCAAATCCAAGCCGGGTCAGGTATGGTTGACAATTCAACTTTCATTTTAATTCCTATTCACAGTGGATAGAAAAAGTCTACTCTACACCCTCCCCTGTTAAAATGTCAACTTTTTGAGACGTCCAGAAATCAAACTTAAGATCAATCACTTCAGAATTTTTTTCCACTTTTAATGTAACATATAAGTGGTACTGCTCGATTGAAAAACAAAGGGAAATCTTCTAGGGGGGGAAAAATAAAAATAAACAACTTACCATTAAGGTTGCAAATGGTGATCATGTGATCAAGGGGCATTGCAACCAGTTGCAAATATGAACTGGTTGCCAAATGCTCAGGTTGCGACCGTCGGGGTGCTGGGATGGTCAGAACTCCGAGGACCAGTTGTAATTACCATATAATGATGATGATGATGTTGGAAGGGACCTTGGAGGTCATCTAGTCCAACCCCCTGCTCAGGCAGGAAACCCTATACCAGGGGTAGGCAACCTTGGCTCTTTTATGACTCATGGACCTCAACTCCCAGAATTCCTGAGCCAGCGACTGGCTGTCCAGTCTCTTCTTAAAAACTTCCAGTGTTGGAGCATTCACCGCTTCTGGAGGCAGGTTGTTCCACTGGTTAATTGTTGTAACTTGTTCAGGACCATCATAACTTCGAGTAGTGCAGCGGTTCTCAACCTGTGGGTCGCGACCCCATTTGGGGTCGAACGACCATTTTACGGGGGTCGCCAAACAACGCGATCCGCCAATTTTTTTTAGCTGGTGGCGCCGCGCATGCGCACTGCGTGTGGGGGCGCCGCCGCGCATGTGCGCCACGTCGCACATGCGCATCACGTCCTTATGACCGGGGTCGCCGGTATAAAAAGGTTAAGAACCACTGGAGTAGTGGCTGAATAAATAGTCGTAGGACACGGACCCCTTGTAACTAAGTTCCTCTTAGTGAGCCTCAGAAAGACTCAAGGACCTGGTGTGATTGTGTGGGCTTCTGGGATGTTTGTGGCAAAAATCAGCTCTTTCCTCCGAGTGAAACTCTCGTCCCTGTTTCAGGAGCCATTGAAAGAGAAAGATGTCATTTTCTTACATGAAGAAGAATCTGCGGAGGCTGTGGAGATCGAACATGGTGAGATGGAGATCAGCACCGTTAAATAAATGCAAATAAATATATAATTTAATAATTAAATAACGTGCTGGGTAAGGATTTTCCTGAAAGATAACAAGCAGTTATACAAATACAGTAATGCAGTGTTTCCCAACAGCGCTGTATTACATAATTAAAGCTTTGGACCTAGCTCACGGGTAGTCAACCTTGGCCCTTTTATGACTCGTGGACTTCAACTCCCAGAATTCCTGAGCCAGCCATGCTGAGGGGAAAGGGAGAGGTTTCCAAGCTGAGCCAAGCTGGCTCAGGAATTCTGGGAGTTGAAGTCCACGAGTCATAAAAGAGCCAAGGTGGCCTACCCCTGGCCTAGCCGTATCTTCCCTGCCAGATGTGTTTAATTTAATTACATTTTAATTTAACTTATTCACTTTAGAATTTATATTATTTTAACCAATCAGTCAACTTAGATGCAGAGGTAGTACAGGAACTGAGGCTATAACAAGGACAACCCCTCCCCCCCCCAATCTCAGATTGTGACACAATGCCATGTTACTCCCAATAGTTTGTTTCTTTCCTTATGTAGGTTACATTTGGCTTAAGAAGCCAGCATTTCTTCCTAAATACAGTGTCTATGTTCAGCTAAATACAAAACCAGTTTGGTCTTAACTGGTTAAGACACCGGGCTAGAAAGTGAGAGACTGGGAGTTCCAGTCCTGCCTTGGCCATGAAAGCCAGCTGGGTGACTTTGGGCCGGTCATTCCTTCAGTCTAGCCCACCTCACAGGGTTGTTGTTGTGGGGAGAATAGGAGGAGGAAGGTGTGTTGGATACGTTTGTCACCTTTAGTTATTTATACAAATAATAAAGGCGGGGATACAAATAACAAAAAACTCCCCACAAAAACGGTGAGATCGTTAGGATGATTTAATGCACGAAAAACACCATATGAAATACTTCAGACTTAAAAGAACAGTTATGAATGTCACAATTTTAAAACGAAAACTGCCTTTTCCAAAAGTTTTGAGAGTAAAAGAAAACTCATCCACTCTAAACATCCAGCTCCTTGTGCGACTGTCTTGTTTTTTTTTTAAAAAAAAAAAAATTTGTCACCTCAAGACAACCAAATGTGCCGAATATCCCTGCCTCCTATTTTCCCCACCAAAACAACCCTGTGAGGTTGGTTGGGCGGAGAGAGAGGGACCGGGCCCATAGTCACCCAGCTGGCTTCCGTACCTGAGACAGGACCAGAACTCACAATCTCCTGGTTTCTGGACCAGCATTCTCACCGCAACACCAAAATGACTCTTTGGCTTTATTCACAGAGAGAAGCTTCGAGAGCAGCTATCCCTTGCTTTCTATTATTTAATTTCCCTTATCTAATTATTGTTTTCATACTATGCCAGGGGTTCCCAACCGGGGGTGCGAGACGATATTCCAGGGGGTGCGAAAACTTGGGTTTTCAAAATTATAGTGCAGTGATGGCGAACCTTTTAGAGACTGAGTGCCCAAAAACTGGCCCTGCCCCCGCTCCATCTCCTGCCCTGCCCCCACTCTGCCCCCCCATCCCCCACCCTGCCTGCCTACAGGGCCACTCACCACTCCAGGACCTGCCACAGATTGACCAGGCAGCCCAGCAGCGCTATGGCGGTCATGCCCTCTGCCCGCGCCCTGCAGCATTAACTGTGCACGATGGGGTGTGAGGGCAGAGTCTTGTCTACGCTGTCTGGCTGCCATGTCCTTGGCTGCGCTGCTCCGCGTGGGCCACGTTCAGGGGCGACTCTCCTTCAGGGGGCCTGCTAGAGAGGAGGGGGTCACGGGGGGAGCGAGGCTGGGGCAACTGCATGTGTGCCCACAGAGAGGGCTCTGAGTGCCTCATCTGGCACCCGTGCCATAGGTTCGCCACCACTGTTATAGTGTATATGCATTATTTGTTGCCGTTGTCAACGCTGCTAACATTGGATGTTCTTGCTTTGACAAAATATGCAGAGCTGTGTGGTATTTTTAGAGTTAACTTAGAAGATGCTGGGAGGGGAGGAGAATGAATTTGTGTGGGGATTAGTCAAGATAAGAAAACCTGCAGGGTACAGAAATGGAAGGGAACCTTTGCCCTTCAAACTGATTGGAGAACGTGATTTATGACAACAAATTTAAGGAGGGAAATATGCTGGCAAAATATGTGCTCAGGGAATGGGAATTCAGATCTTGGTATCCTCCATGCTGTGCCGACACTTTGTTACATGATTAAAGACTTTTTAGGATAAACAATGCCTGGAAGTCCTTTGAAGTGTTCCATTAGTCAGAACCATGACAGCCGTTATTTCTAACTTTGGTAAGGGGTGCAAGAATAGATCAGAAGCGCTCTAGGGGTGTGTGTCAGAGCATGCACAGTTTTATTGCACTGAAGTAACCCAGGAGTAAATACAGTAAACAGCAGTCTGCATTAAATGGTGTTTTATATTACAATATCTACAAATATACACTAGGAACAAGATAAATACATGTGGCCATTCAGCAAACTCCAATACACAGCAATTACAGCAGGAAACAGACGAGAGAGAAAGACTCCAGCAAGGCCTTCCCTTTTATACTCAAGCTCTTAAAGGGATACAGACTCCTGCTGAGTCATTTCTCACATTGCATCATTCATCTCACATTATACAAGCTGGGTAGCTTCTAAATCACATATTGGTAACCTGTGGCTCCGGAGCCGCATGCGGCTCTTTGACCCTACCGCTGTGGCTCCCAGCCTCCTTTGCCCTTTGCAGACAGAGACAGAGAGAGGCACTTACGCTTCCCTGCTTCTCTCTCTCTCCCTCTCCCTCTCCCTCTCCCCCCCTCTCTTCTCTGTGTGTGTGTGTAAAAAAGAGTGGACTCAAGGTGTTCTCCAACAAGCTGAAAAGCTTTGGGGGCGGGGCTCCTTCCTTTGTTGCGTCTCTGCAGGAAGCAGGAAGGGAAGGAGAGAGCTAGCTAGCCCAGCTGTGCTGGCTCAGGAATTCTGGGAGTTGAAGTCCATGAGTCATAAAAGAGCCAAAGTTGCCTACTCCTGAGCTTGTTGGAGAACAGCTTGAAGCCAGATTGCCAAGTGAGTAGAAGATCAGAGAGAGGGAGAGAGAGGGGGGAGAGAAAGAGAGGGGGGGAGGGAGAGAGAGGAAAAAAAGAGAAAGAAAGAGAGTGGGTGAAGAAGACTGGCAGATCAAGGGCAGAAAGAGAGGGAGGGAGGGAGAGAGAGAGAGATCCTTTTGACATCTAAAATGAAGATAACACTGCATATATCTTTTTTTACCTTTACATACATACATACATACATACATACATACATACATACATATAATATATAATAAAAGTAAAAAAGGATACATGCAGTCTTATCTTCATTATATAATATATAATAAAAGTAAAAAAAGGATACATGCAGTCTTATCTTCATTTTAGATGTCAAAAGGGTTTTACGGCTCTCAGTGTTTTGTTTTCGGTGGGAACGGGTCCCAAGTGGCTCTTTTGAGTGTTTTGGGTTGCCTACCCCTATTCTAAATCATTACCTTTGATAGTGCGGGGTATAGAAAAAGGTTGGGAGCCGCTGTCCTATGCTGTGTCCCAAAATGTCCTGCTAAAAGCAATCTAATATGAATGTATTCTAACTGTAGGTTTTAGAGGGCAGCGGATAGAGAAAACGCTGAAAGAGGTAAAAGCCGGAAGTCCAAATTTAGAACAGGAAGTCGATGGAGGGAAACTGCCCAGTGTAACTCAGCCGCGGTCTGGGTCTGAGCGACAGACGGAATGGGCAGCATCTCAGAAGAACAAAAACGATCCATTTTGGAGGGTGGAAGAGAGCTGGGAAGTCCATTGGCAGCAGTTCCTCCAGACGTCACAACCCCCTCCCAATGGATGGAAGAATCCGAGGACGTCAGAGGAGTCACCCTGGGAAAACCCCAAGGCTTTCCTGCTCTCCTTTGAGCAAGTGGCCAAAGCTTGCCACTGGCCTAGAGAAGAATGGGCCGCCCAGCTCTTCCCAGCCTTGAGCGGAGAAGCAGAAGAGGCCGTTCAAAACCTGGAAAACCAAGAGCAGGAAAACTACGGCAAAGTGAAGGCCGCCATCTTGCGAGGGGAAACCCTGAGGGCGGAGATGCAACGCCAGCATTTTCGGCAGTTCTGCTGCCAGGAGGTGGGAGACCCCAGGAGACTTTACGGCCAACTCCATAAGCTGGGTCTCCAATGGCTGAAGCCAGAAAGACACACCAAGGAGCAGATTCTGGAGCTGCTGGTTCTGGAGCAGTTCCTGGTCAGCCTCCCACCGGACCTCCGGAGCTGGATCCGAGCGGGAAGGCCAGACACATGTTCCCAGGCGGTGGCCCTGGTGGAGGACTTCTTGTCAAGCCTGCAAGAGGCCAAATCTGGATCCTGTCAGGTAGGATCTGAATTCCAGACTCGACAGCACACAGAATCCGAATTAGGCTTCTAGAATTGCCTGCATATAATTGATTGCAAATGCATTGCATTCGTAAAATAATACAGGGCTGAAAGTCAGCTTTTTAAGTGAAAGGCACAAAAAGTGGTTCTTCCTTTATTTTCTACACAGCTGTATAGCCTGCAATAACTCTTTCATGTGGAGGCAATTCACAGGACTGCTTTTCCAGCTTTGGGAAGGTCAATCTGTTATATGGGAATCATGAGAAGTTTAATATTTTGCATGCAGCTACTCCTTGCTTAAAGTCTAGTCCAGGGCTAGGCAACCTTGGCTCTTTTATGACTCGTGGACTTCAACTCCCAGAATTCCTGAGCCAGCATGGCTCAGCTTGGAAACCTCTCCCTTTCCCCTCAGCATGGCTGGCTCAGGAATTCTGGGAGTTGAAGTCCACGAGTCATAAAAGAGCCAAGTCTGAAGACCCCTGTCCTAGACAGTCACTTCTCTGAAATGGTACAGGGCAGGGGTAGGCCACCTTGGCCCTTTTATGACTCGTGAACTTCAACTCCCAGAATTCCTGAGCCAGCATGGCTCATCTTGGAATCCTCTCCCTTTCCCCTCAGCATGGCTGGCTTAGGAATTCTGGGAGTTGAAGTCCACGAGTCATAAAAGAGCCGAGGTTGATTACCCCTAGTCTAGTCGCTTAATGGCTATTTGAAGCCTTTCAACCAATCAGCATAGAGTCAGAAGGGACTTTGGAGATCTTCTAGTCCAATCCCCTGCTCAAGCAGGAGACTCCATTCCATTTCAGACAAGTGACTGCCCAGTCTCTTCTTAAAAACCTCCAGTGATAGAACACCCACAACTTTTGAAGGCGGGCTAAGCTGTTCCATTGGTTAATTGTTCTCACCCGCAGGAAACTTCTCCTTAGTTCTAGGTTGCTTCTCTCTCCCTGGTTAGTTTCCATCCATTGTTTCTTGTCTTGTCTTCTGGTGTTTTGGGAAAGCACTAAAAAATACCTCCCCCAATGGTACTTAGGACCCAGTTTTGAAGTTGACCGCCCTCTGCTGGGGGGGGGTCATATGATTGCATTTTGGGGGTGCTTGGTACCTGGCTCACCTTTATGGTTTTTGTTAGCATCCTGTAGCCATCTTCATCATTTTTTCGCTGGTGTCCGGTGTTTACTTCTGGTTTCCTACCAAAAAAAAAAAAACAACAACCCATCCTTTGGATAAAACAGATTCATTTGACAACCGCCAGGATTGCTAAATGACTGCTGCAAAAAAGTAATAAAATTGGACACAGTCACACGATCCACTTAATGACCCCTTATACCAGTGGTGGCGAACCTATGGCACGGGTGCCAGAGGCGGCATTCAGAGCCCTCTCTGTGGGCACCCGTGCCGTCGCCCCAGTACTAGGCCTTCAGCTGGGTTTTATAAAACCTTTTCGCTTTAGGCCTCCGCCACCGTGTGCAAAAAAAAAAAAAAAGGTTCAATCAATTTCAACTTCTCCGGGGGGAAAAAAAAGATCTTGCAAAGTGGGAATTGATTGATTGAACTTTTTAGTCCCACCCAGTCTGCTGTTACCACCGCAGCCATGCATACCCAATTGGCCACACCCAACCAATGGGCCACACCTGCCCAGCTCCCGACAATACATAAGTGTGTTTTGGGTTGCAGTTTGGGCACTCAGTCTCTAAAAGGTTCGCCATCACTGCCTCATAATGTTTTGGATCCTGACTGATTCTGGGCAGCGCTTTGACAGATAAGGGAGTGGATGAGTTTGTTTGATTTTTTAATGGCAAAATCCATCTGAATGGATCTGTCTTGTCTCCCTGTTTCAGGGGCTACTGAAGGACGACTCTGTGGATTTTGATCCTGCAGAGGAAGAGCTCTTGGAGACCATGAAGAGGGAAAGGGTTGAAATGGAGATCAGTATGTTGGGTAAGGATTCCCAGGGCAACAGGAAATGTATGAGTGTGACAAAGGAAAATGAATATATAAGACCTCACATACAGGATAGACCAGTGGTTCTCAACCTGTGGATCGGGACCCCATTTGAGGTCGAACGACCATTTCACGGGGGTCATCAAACAATGCAGTCCGCCATTTTCTCCCCCTTTTCCTTAGCTGTGCTACTCCCTTTTATTCTATTAGCTTTTGAAAGCCAATAGAATAGACTCTCTTGAATAAAGTCTAATTCTATTGGCTTTCAGAAGCCAATAGGAATTGTCCAGGCTGTCTCTGCCCTGCTGAGCCCGCCAAAAGTCCCATTCTGCAAACGGTGCTGCACCAGTTGAGTAGTCCTCGACTTACGACCGGTTGAGTAGTCCTCGACTTATGACCGGTTGGCGGTCGCAGCATTAAAAAGGTTGAGAACCACTGGGATAGACCTCCAAGATCTCACCAGTTAGAGCAGGAGAGTGACTGATACTCGGAGGTTCTTGGTGGCCTTTGAGCTTCGTTGTCCCAAAGGGACTTTTTCAAGAGGCAACTGGACTTTCTTGTGTTTTTTTTTTCTCTGAAGACGTTTCGCTTCTCATCCAAGAAGCTTCTTCAACTCTGACTGGATGGTGGGGGAAATGGAAGGATTTGTATTCCTTGCAGACAGCCGGTCATTTGCATTCTTTTAGAGAGTTGTTGAGGCCACTTAAGGCCTGGAGGAACGTTGTCCATGGGGTCGTGATGGGTCGGACATGACTTTGCAAGTAATAATAATAATAATAATGAGGCCACTTGGAGGTTTATCTGTGTCCTCAGGGTCACCTGAGTAGTGCAAATGGATGTGGAGCCTTTTTGGAACTGCTAATAAACCTCCAAATGGCCTCAACGACTCTCTAAATAAGGAAACAAACGATCAGCTGTCTATTTGTCTTCCTGCCAGCCTTGTCTGGGGAGGTTTGGAGGGTGGTAATGGCTGGCTGTTTAAGGCCCTGGGCCTTTACTTAGACCAGGGGTCTTCAAATGTGGCCCTTTTATGACTTGTGGACTTCAACTCCCAGAATTCCTCAGCCAGGCACATGTGCCTGGCTGAGGAATTCTGGGAGTTGAAGTCCACAAGTCATAAAAGGGCCAAGTTTGAAGACCCCTGACTTAGGCCCTGTACCACTGCTGAGGTGCGTCTCTGTGCTGGGTAGCCAAAAGAGGAAAGATGGCGGAAGGGAGGCGGGTGGGTAGAGTCAAAGATCCCCCTGTAGTGGTAAGCAACCAAGTGCTCCTCTTTTGATCCTGTGACCTCAGGGCTGCTGCAAAGGTTATAACTTCAGGATCAGGGACTGAGTACCTTTCGTTCAGCGCCACCGTAACTTCAAACGGCCGCCGAGCCATTGGTCATAACTGAAAAGACAACCTCCATTCCTGAGAGCATGTTCATTATTTGATTTATGGCGTCATTTTACAGCTATTCGTTTCCTCCGGCTCGTCGTTTTACCCAGATGGTTGCTTGCCATCGTTTTATGACTTGCACACTCCCAAGAGTCAATAATTTACAGTGGGGTGTGGTTCCTCTCAGCAACCAGATGGAAACAACCTTGGGAAGAAAATTCCAACCGAAAGGAAGTTAAAGGGCGTGGTGAAAATAAGTAATCAAGGCGTGGTTTTAAAAATGGTTTCTCTTCCTTGGCAGGTAATGGATGGGAAAGTGAGGTCAAGATGGATGATTGTCTGGGTGAAGATGAAAAGCTGGAAGCTTCCTCCGGGATAGATTCCCCCAAATGCTCTGTGGATCCGCCGTTAAACTTCCGGTCAAAAAAGCAGACCCAGAAGTCGCCTGTAGAGAACAAGAAGGAACGTCTTTTGCTGCCCAGAAAAATTTCTGCTGCCGTTATTGGAAAGACCACTTTATCCAGCAAGGATAAAATGCCTTTGTTCTCTAAGTATGGTAGGAAATACCACTATAGGGTGGAGCTTGACATGATAGACTCCTCGGAGGACTTTGAAGAATGGCCTAGCTCCGAGGAAGATCTCCAGTGCGTTTCTGACTTTTGGGGAAAGGAAGAAAACAGAAGCATTGAGGAAAAGTGTCAGTTTTCTGGGAGTAGAAACGGGAGTCATTTCAACCGATATCAGCGTAGTTATCGAGAAGAAAAAGACGACTCTTCTCTCGAGTACGCCGAGACCTTCAGTCGTGCAAACTCGCTAAATATCATTCAGGCCCCTAATCACGCTGAAAGGAAAGTGTATGAATGCTCTCGGTGTGAGAAACGCTTTGGTAAATTTAGCCAGTGGAATCAACATCAGAAAATCCACACCGGAGAAAAACCGTACGAGTGTTCCCAGTGTGGAAGGTGCTTCAATCAGGCAGGAAATCTGAAGACCCACCAGAAAATTCATACAGGAGAGAGACCCTACCGATGTGCCCAGTGTGGGAAAAGCTTCAATCAGGCAGGAAATTTGAAGACCCACCAAAAAATTCATACGGGGGAGAGACCCTATCAATGTTCCCAGTGTGGGAAAAGCTTCACCCGAGGGATCCTTTTGAAGATACACCAAAGGATTCACACTGGAGAAACACCCTACAAATGTTCCGAGTGCGGGAAAGGGTTCAACGAGATGCGTAACTTAAAAAGGCACCAGAGAATTCATACCGGAGAGAAACCTTACAGATGTTCCCAGTGTGGGAAATGCTTCACTGAGGCAGATGTTTTGAAGATACACCAAAGAACACACACCGGAGAGCGGCCGTACAAGTGCTCGGAGTGTGGAAAATCCTTCAATAAATCGGGAACCTTGAGGAGGCATCAAAGAATTCATACCGGAGAGAGACCCTACAAATGTTCTCAATGCGGGAAAGGTTTCAATCAGATGGGAACTTTGAAAAAACATCAGAGGCTTCATCCCGGAGAGAAACACTACAAATGTTCTCAGATCCACACCGCAATTTATATCGGTGAGAAACCGCACAAGTGCTCTGATTGCGGGAAAGGTTTCCGACAGGCAGGACTCCTGAAGAGGCATCAAAGAATTCATACTGGCGAGAGACCCTACAGATGTTCTCAGTGTGGGAAATGGTTCAATCAATCAGGAACTTTGAAGAGACATCAGAGAATTCATACCGGAGACCAACCAGCCCAGTTTCTTAGCGCTGGAAATACATCAGTCAGAGAAGTAACTTGAAGAACTATCTGGGGGTTCATATTTAAGGAAATTCAGGCCACAGATGTAACTAAAACCTAGTGGGGGAAAAAATCTCCATGACTGGAATGTAGTAATTGAAAGATTACAATCCATTGAGCAGCAGTAGAATAGAAAAATGAGTTTTAGTGTATGATTGAGATAAAGACAGGGAATGCTCAATTTACAACCACAATTGAGATTGGAATTTCAGTTGCTAAGTGATGCAGTCAGTAAACGACGGGATCTGATTTTACAACTGCTTTTTACCATGATTATTAAGCAGATCTGGCTTCCCCGATTGACTTCGATTGTGGGAAGCTGAATGGAAAAGTCACAAATTAGGAAAGTCACAATCACAGGACCACAAGATACGGCGACTGTCATACATGTGAGATGTCTAGTGACTGAATTATGATCATGTGACTGAGGGATGCTGCAACGGCCGTAACTTTTAAGGATAGGTCATAACTCACTTTTTCCGAAGTTGTCATAAATTGGAACTGCGGTTAAAGGTGTGGTTGTAAGTCAATGATTACTTGTAAAACCAATATAAAGATTGTTGCCCCCCACATCTCTCGCCCAAGCTATGAATGATGTAGATGACGCTTTCTGAAAGCAGAGGGGGAGAGAGATCTGAAATAAAATATGGAGTTGAATTCAACTGATTGCTTAGGACAATGATGGCAAACCTTTTAGAGACCGAGTGCCCAAACTGCAACCCAAAACTCACTTATGTATCATCGGGTGCCGGGTGGGCGTGGCCCATTGGGTGGGTATGGCTGCGGTGGTAACAGCAGACTGGGTGGGACTAAAAAGTCCAATCAATAATTCCAACTTTGCAAGATCTTTTTTTTCCCGTGAGAAGTTGAAATTGATTGATTGAACCTTTTTTTTTTTGCTGTACACGGTGGTGGAGACCTAAAGCGAAAAGGTTTTATAAAACCCAGCTGAAGGCCTAGGACTGGGGCGACGGCTCGTGTGCCCACAGAGAGGGCTTTGCGTGTCACCTGTGGCACGCATGCCATAGGTTCGCCACCGCGGGCTTAGGAGCTTATGAAAAGAAAACAGAGAAAGACCATTGAGAGCCATAGTGGCCAGAATGCAGTACTGCAGGCTACTTTTGCTGACTGCCGGCTGTCAGCAGTTTGGTAGTTCGATCCTGATCAGCTCAAGTTTGACTCACCCTTCCATTCTTCAGAGGTCAGTAAAATGAGGCCAAGGTTGTTGGGCGGCAATGTGCTAACTCTGTAAACCGCTTAGAGAGGACTGTAAAGCATCGTGAAGTGGTATATAAGTCTTAAGTGCTTATTGCTAGTACTGCCCACTTCCAGTCCCTTAAGGGGTGCTACACAGAATAAAGGGACTTGTTCTCTCTCATTCCAGAGGGTAAAACAAAAACTGAATGCTAGGACAAAAACTTCAAAAACATCCATTACTAATAATAATAATAAAAATGATTGAGCCGTTGGACCAATTGTGCAGTGAGATGGTGGGTTGCTCTTCAACTATAGATGTCCGCCTGTCATGGACCCTAACTGGGATTCTTGCATGGAGCCGAAGGTTGGACTTGATGGTCTTAGTGGCTCTTTCCAGCTCCGTGATTCCGTGATTCCTGACAAGATCAAATGGCTGTGAGTTTGGGGCCCAACTGTACCTAGTGGTCCGCCATCTTTAATTTGGGCTTTCTGAGCTGGTGCAGCATCAGGAGGTCCTTCCCAACTCGCAACAGGCACATGGCTAGGAGGGCCTTTGCATAAATACATCTTGTGCATTAGTCACACTTTCTCCAAGGCCCTGTTCTCAGTCATTTAGGCCTTACACATCTCTTGACTGGACTGTTGCAATGCACTCTAGTGGGGCTGCCCTTGAAGACCATTCAGAAGCTTCAGCTATTCAGACCACAGCAACTTGAAGAGTAGAGGTACACCCACCGTATGCCCAAGAAATATCCGACTATATGAATTGTCCTGCCTCCCAGGATCCTTCAGGGTGCTGGCCATCATCTTTAAAGCCCTACCTGGCATGGGGCAAGGTATTCGCAGGATTGCCTAGCCCTGGTGATTTTTCCTCATCCCCTAGATCTGGCAAGGTGGGCTTGTTCAGAGTTCCTTCAGTTTAATAGTGCTAGTGGGGACTTGGAAGCATGTGTTCTTTGTTCTGCAGTTGCCTTATGGAACAGCCTCCCCTTAACTTGAGATACTCGACTTTGTAGACCTACAGGAAAGCAGTGAGGATCTGGCTTCAACCCTGTTGGCCTATAGGATGGCCTCGACCCTGTTCACCTATAGGATGGCCTCGACCCTGTTCACCTATATAGGATGGCCTCGACCCGGTTGACCTATAAGGATGGCCTCGACCCGGTTGACCTATATAGGATGGCCTTGACCCTGTTTACCTACAGGATGGCCTCAACCCTGTTGACCATAGGATGGCCTTGACCCTGTTGACCTACAGCAGTGGTTCTCAACCTTTTTAATTCCGCGACCCCAACCGGTCATAAGTCGAGGACTACTCAACCGGTCGTAAGTCGAGGACTACTCAACTGGTGCAGCACCGTTTGCAGAATGGGACTTTTGGCGGACTCAACAGGGCAGAGACAGCCTGGACAATTCCTATTGGTTTTTGAAAGCCAATAGAATTAGACTCTATTCAAGAGAGTCTATTCTATTGGCTATCAAAAGCCAATAGAATAAAAGGGAGTAGCACAGCTAAGGAAAAGGGGGAAAAAATGGCGGACTGTGTTGTTTGGCAACCCGCGTGAAATGGTCGTTCGACCCCAAATGGGATCCCGACCCACAGGTTGAGAACCATGGACCTACAGGATGGCCTCGACCCTGTTGACCTATAGGATGGCCTTGACCTTGTTGACCTATAGAATGGCCTTGACCCTGTTGACCTACAGGAAAGCAGTGACAATCTGGCTTTCCCTCCTAGGCACTAACACCAGGATGTTGATGGTATCAGCAAGATATGGTTGATTGATGGAAGCAAGTTTTATCTCAGCCCCTGACATAATTTTAAGTGTTTGTTTTGTTTTAATCATATTGTGTTTTTCGCTCTTACATGCCACCTGGAGTCTTTTCTAATAGACGGATGGCTATGTAAGTTTGTTTAAGAAATAAAACTTTTTTTTCTGAGGTTTTCGCGGGTGTTTGTATGTAGGTCTTTGGTTGTTCGGGTTTTCTCCCACGTAAAATTGGAAGTGTCTTGGCGACGTTTCGACAAAGTCCCATTCGTCATCTTCAGGCTGGTGTTTTCAGCTTCGTGCTTCGAGGAGCAATGTGTGGTCTTAGCTGTTTCTTCTTTTTAACTGCCAGTGGGGGTATGAACTGATTGGGTGGGAGCTTGGCTGTGTTCTGATTGGGTGGGAGCTTGGCTGTGTTCTGATTGGGTGGAGATGTGCTCTGATTGGCTGGGGGTTTGGCTGTGCTCTGATTGGCTGAGGGGTTGGCTGTGCTCTGATTGGCTGGGGGAGTGTTCTGTTTGGTTGTGCTCAGGTTAGTCTGAGTTGCAGGGGGGTTTAAGATTTTGGGCTGCCTTGCTATTTTTTGGCTTAGCGTTCGTGTTCGTGCCTCATCTTCATGGAGGGTGTCAGTTTGCTTCATGTATGGATTGGAGGGATTTAAAGTGGCTACTGATGCAGCTGTGGTCTGGCTTCTGGTTTGTGGTCGTGCCTCATCATCGGTGTGGCTTTGGGTTTGCTTTTTGCGTGGATGTGTGGTGGTGACATCCTGTGTGGTTTTTGTGGGTGTGCGTCTGGTATCATTTTTTGTGTTAGGGAGTCGTTTGTCAATAAGGGCGGGTTTCCAAATGGCTGGTAGGCGGGAGGTATCATCTCGCTTGTTCATGCTGTGTGGGCGTTTTTCTATCTTGATGGCTTCTCTGATTATTCTGTTATTAAAATATTCACTTTTGGCAATGGTTCTGGTATTTTTAAAGTCAATTTCATGTCCTGTGGCTTTAAGGTGTTGGACCAGGGAAGATGTTGGTTCCTCTTTTTTGACTAAGTTCTTATGTTCTTCAATGCGTGCACTTATTCTTCTGTTGGTTTGTCCGATGTAGGTGTTGTGACAACCAGTGCATGGGACTTCAGGAAAATTCCACTTAGGGTTAGGGTTAGGTCAGCATGAACTAATAGAGCAAAATGGACATTGTCAACACACGCGGAGTGTTTTCATATGGTTAGGAGGGCACTGACTTTTCTAGGCTGCCCTATCTATATTTCCTGGTAAAATACATGGGAAAATGGCATTGGAGCAAAATTCCACTTAATGTTAGAGTTAGGTGACCATAAACTCATAGAGCAAAATGGACATCGCCAACACACTCAGAGTGCTTGGGTATGGTTAGGAGGGCACTGACTTTTGTAGGCTGCCCTATCTATGTTTCCTGGTAAAATACATGGGAAAATCCCATTGGAAGAAAATTCCACTTAGGGTTAGGGTTAGGTTACCATGAATTCGTAGAACAAAATGAACATCGCCAAGAAACTCGGAGTGCTTGGGTATGGTTAGGAGGGCACTGACTTTTCTAGGCTGCCCGATCTATGTTTCCTGGTAAAATACATGGGAAAATCCCATAGGAGGAAAATTCAACTTAGGGTTAGGTCACCATGAACTAATGGAGCAAAATGGACACTGGCAACACACTCGGAGTGCTTTGGTATGGTTAGGAGGGAACTGACTTTTCTAGGCTTCCCTATCTGTGTTTCCTCGTAAAATACATGGGAAAATCCCATTGGAGCAAAATTCCACTTAGAGTTAGGGTTAGGGCATCATGAACTCATAGAGCAAAATGGACATCGCCAACACAGTCAGAGTGCTTGGGTATGGTTAGGAGGGCACTGACTTTTGTAGACTGCCCTATCTATGTTTCCTGGTAAAATACATGGGAAAATCCCATTGGAGGAAAATTCCACTTAGGGTTAGGGATAGGTTACCATGAACTCGTAGAGCAAAATGAACATCGCCAACAAACTCGGAGTGTTTGGGTATGGTTAGGAGGGCACTGAGCTTTCTAGCCAGCGCTATCTATGTTTCCTGGTAAAATACATGGGAAAATCCCATTGGAGGAAAATTCCACTTAGGGTTAGGTTACCATGAACTCATAGAGCAAAATGAACATCGCCAACAAACTCGGAGTGTTTGGGTATGGTTAGGAGGGCACTGACCTTTCTAGCCTGCGCTATTTATGTTTCCTGGTAAAATACATGAGAAAATCCCATAGGAGGAAAATTCCACTTAGGGTTAGGGTTAGGTTACCATGAACTCGTAGAGCAAAATGAACATCGCCAACACAGTCAGAATGCTTGGGTATAGTTAGGAGGGCACTGACTTTTTTAGAATGCCCTATCTATGTTTCCTGGTAAAATACATGGGAAAATCCCATAGGAGGAAAATTCCACTTAGGGTTAGGGATAGGTTACCATGAACTCGTAGAGCAAAATGAACATCGCCAAGAAACTCGGATTGCTTGGGTATGGTTAGGAGGGCACTGACTTTTTTAGACTGCCCTATCTATGTCTCCTGGTAAAATACATGGGAAAATCCCATTGGAAGAAAATTCCACTTAGGGTTAGGGATAGGTTACCATGAACTCGTAGAGCAAATTGAACATCGCCAACAAACTCGGATTGCTTGGGCATGGTTAGGAGGGTACTGA